CTGTGTGTGGCTGCCGAATAACTGCGCACTGAAGTTAAATAATTTATCCTATTGCAACCTAGAACCGTGCACTTTGACGTTGCGTGCAGGCCTGAGTGACTAGACACTTAGACTTACTGGAGACCATCCTGAAAGCTCCAACATGTTATGTACGATCCATTTTCTATTGCAAGGTAAGAAAAAGCTGTTGTGTTTTCAAGGGTCATTGGGAACGATAAATGCATTATTAATAATGTATCCCTTCCGGCCGAGATATATCGTACTCTGCGGCAGCTGATACTGGTTTGTGTGCACTCAGAAGTGGACTAAATTTAATCTGCCACATTTATAGAAGAAATAGGACGTTCGATAGGTTAAGTAAATTCAAACTCAAGTCAGTTGATTTTGTTCTGGGAATTGGACACCAGATTTAAATTGAGCATTATTTGACTGCAGAAGTCTCTTATTTGCAGCTTCCACAAAATTTCGCTAATCCTTCGAAAAATCTCCACGATATTGGTGAGCAGTATCCAGATGTCCATTTTTCTGCATAAGCTATCTTCATGACTGCACAAGATTATCCTACATATTCAAAATTTAGTCCAGATTTCGATAGAATATGACGCACAGTGAACATACACATAGGTAAACAACAAATATTCTGGAATTTGTATATCCTTTAGCAGAATACATTCTGGCTGCACCATTCTGTTCAGGTGTGTCGCGTGCCGTACGTTCGACGAATTTGGTTACATCCAGTCAGTTGTTACCAGCTGACGAGCTTGCCTAACTGATACAAAAGACGAGGAAACACCGAACAAAAATGAGAATCTGGCAGTTTGCAGTCAAGTCAAGTGGTATACTTTGCGTCCTTTTGAGATGAGCACTGAGATCCAAAGTGACCTCATTGTCGATGAACACACTTTGCGAGGTCATTCCAAACGCCATTCGCTGATGTCAAGATGTCCCTGAAGCCAGTTGTAGCCATAAGGCAAAAATTCGCACTGGTTAAATACAGTGAATGAAATAATTACGTTGGTAGGTTTTGTGGAAGGCAGTAGCAGGTTTTATTCACTGGACAATAGTTGACACAAATTTGAGCGGTTCGACAATATTATGAGATAGCAGATGCAGTTTCCTATTCACATACACCAAAAAACCTGCATTGCATGGAACCTAAATAGCAATCCCAATGCAGCCAGGTCTCGATGCGGATAAATTAGAAGCCAAATTTAAATTTCGTCGGAGGAGGGCTGGAAAGTCTAGCTTACCACTTTAAGAAAACTCAAACCGTGACAGCCAATCCGATTACCCAGAGTGCTTTTGTTGACGTAAATGTTGGATTACTCAAGGAAGCTCTGGTTCACAGCCAATCGCTGTTGGAGCAGCGGCAGGGGAAGAAACTGGGACAAGAGAATGCAACTAATCTAGGCTGCAGTTTACTTAGAAATTGATACAATTTGAAACGTTGCCGAATAAAGAAGAAATTTGGAGGAAAATATTCACAAAAAACCGAGTTATGTCAGAATACAAAAAGCAGAAGGCTAAGTTGTTAGCTGTGGCTTTTCATGTCACTCTGATTAATTTTGCTATCGCATCAGTAAAAACCCTTTTTCTAGAATATCCAGGAGCAACTTAGTGGTAAACAGGATGTCACCTCCGTAAAACTAGGGTAAACTAGGGCAAACTAAGGGAAATCGGTTGAAAAAATCATTCTCACAGTGATCTATACACATTTATACCAATACCTCTCATTTCATTATAATCACGGTCATTAAGGCCTCCAGACAGCATCTCTTAATAGTTTCTAATGACCACTAAACACGCTATTTAATCGGTTCACATGAAGGCGTTCATGAGGTAGGTTAATTAGACGGGTATAAAAGTGGTTTACCTAATCAAATTGCCCAGCTGTTGTCTCATTTAAGCCAAATGAACTTGATATCTTCCTTATCGTTTCAGCTTATGACGGCCCACCAGGAAAGTAACGATGGACATTCCAGTGTGACGAACATGTGCACCTCAAACAGCGACAGTTTTATTGCTGAGATGAGGACAAAAATATCTAAGTAAGTGTTTGTTCGTGAAAGACTTCCTGCAGACAGGATGCAAGATCCGTTAGAAAAAAGAAGCTTCCCAGAGAAGCTCGGAGGAAAAGTTTGGGTAACAATGCATTTTTTCCGAATGGTGCCACTGTGAAGTCTACAGGAAACGACGTATGCCAAGTTATATGAAGCAACCTAAAGTGTACAAAATTGTTGTTTTGGCCAACGGATCCTACGAATACAGTGCCCGAGTGTCATTCACGACCATTGATGAGGTAAGACGAACGCCAAGCAAATCGTATGATCCTATTATCCTTCTGTAGTATTCATCCTATGTTTAAGTGACCGTAATCTGTTTTCTAAAATGCCAGAAGCTGAGATGTTGCCATTTATGTAGTAGGTATAAAGAAGTAATTCAAAACGTCAAACCAACTGTTTCATTTTGTATTAGGTCAGCGAAAAGTCCTTATAAACTGCTTGTCACGGCTGACTACTGTACTAAAACACTACCGTGTTTTTTCCTATGATTCGTAGTTTCCATTCAGTGTAGGACGTCCGGACAAGGAACCCACTCTAGTAGACATTTGATGTAGGTTCAGAAAGAGACTATTAGCTGCAGGTTATCATACGTAACGTACACGTAGGTGTGGTATGCTGGTTTGGGTAACTCTCATATATCAGTCAAAATCCCTCTACAGGCTATACAGGGAAATTTCCTTCAAAACGAATGGGTAATTGGCAGTGTGAGAGGATTCTGGAGTTTTTCTTGATATTTCGCGCTGAACAAAGGCTGGGCTACTATGGGGACCTTGACCAGCTTGAAATAAAACGCTGTATGATCACTATGGAACGAAATTGGACCGAAAGCTTTTGCACCAATCAAGCTCTTTTTTGGTAGCTTCGGTAGCGCTTGCTTTGGATGTGACTTGGTTTGGAATGATTTTACGCAAAACGGCCAAACACAGCTGGCGTAGATCACCTGGTAAAAGCTACCTAGTGGCTTTCCAGGTTAAATTCCTGTTGACTGTTGAAACTCATCTTTGAAAACCCATCTTTGAAATAAACGATGCTTTTTGACAGAGATGTGTTTCTGGACTTCAGTGCTGACTATTTGATTAGCTTTGAGAAAACCCTTTTAGTTTATTGGAGCCAGAGGAACAGCCAAACTAGAATCGGAAGTACAATTAAAAGTATATTCGATGTCGGGGTATTGGAAGCAAACAGGTTACTCAATGTCTGATAATTTGGACAAAAGTGTGCTAACCTAGCCCTACAGACCTCAAAAATTGTGGGACGTTATTACAGTCTTATGACACAGTAAAGTTTGAATGGGTTGGAGGTCCACACGCAAATCCAGGTAAAATGTGTTGAACAAAGTCCCAATGACAGACCTAAAGCGCTTCCGTACAAGAAGTATGATGCACTGTTTGGTGTGCACAATAAACGAAAGAGAGTTTTACTGATGAAAATGTGCCCATTTTCTGGAGTAAGATGTCTCAGTTATTTATTCACTAGGGGTTTGCATACGTGCAGTTAATACTTTTGCACCCAGATTATAGAGCCTTGGAAGTCCTGGATGAATCCGTATTGGCAGCCACGAATTGCTTTTAATGCATACAATTATAGGGTTGGGCAATCTAGTTTTTGAAGCATGCTTGCTCAGAGGGCAATAGTTTTGGTTGAAATGATATGTATGGATTTGACGAAAAATTCCTCGAATATGGCGTAAGATTACCCATTACGTGCAGCCTGGGGCTGTTCAGATGTTCGTACAATCGAGAGCTTTAAAGCAATGAATTCGGTAAGCTGAACTAATACGTAAGCAAATGCATTTTTCTTGCACTAATGTTTGCACCCAATGATAACTACTTTGAGATGAACAGTAGTATGGTTTGGATGATAAATTTCACTATACCTTCGAAATCCTTCATCGAGAATACCTAACTGAGCCTTGGGTTAAGGTACTGATTAGCTGGATTACAACAATAGTAAACACGATTTAATTGCTGCTCACTGCAGCTGTGCAGTAGGAGAAAACAATTCGAGTATGTTGTATGAAAGCAAATTCCTCTCCGCTTGCCTGAAAATCGCACGTAATTTCTTAAATCTCAGGTTTTGTTTTACAAAAAGCATTATTTTCGCTTTTCTGTTAGAAGTTCAAGAATGAATAAAATAGGTATTGCCTGTTTCAGTTGGTTCGTGATTATTTGTCTCGTTTAAATTACATCAGGCAAGTTACCAGAGTGAAGTGTGTTTGCGCGCGGAAATCACTTTATCCCAGGCAGTATATCGGTCTTATTGGTGCTCAACAAGTACTATAAAGGCATTCTGTATCCTGCACACTCACTAGCTTTTGTACAGCGGAACACACGCTTTACGATTGGCCTCAATTGCACGGCGTGCTTACTTGCCGGGCGGAGAATTGGTGCATTCAATAAAGCAACTTCGAAAAGAAAAGTATGTGTTCCTCACTTGTGGCGAACCATTCAAAGATCCCAGACAGTTAGCAGAAGGTTAGTAAAATAATTAATTACCGGATTTATGAAACACACCTCTATGACCCTAGGTAGTTTGTGAGGTTTTATCATCTTGAAACTGGGATGTGCAGTCTATGATTAGGGATTCTCACTGATTTTATAGAAACTTAAATTTGTGAGCCTCAAGTGAATACATTATTAACTTCATCACCCAGAGTTAAATACATATGGTATCCGGCCATAAAGTGAAATGTCTCATTGTATGTTACGAGGAAGACCGTTGTTGTGGAACGTGTTAAGTTCCAACATGAACTGCCATGAGTGAAGATGCGATGGAATTTCACGTATGATGCACCTAGGCTGCTTTAGGTTTCAGCAGAGGAAACATTCAATTTATCGCATCCGTTTTGTGCTTTCAGTCATGACAACTTAATTCGTTAGGGAGAAAGTTCGTCAGACTACATACTGACGTTGGCTAAAGTTGAGCAGTGATTGAACCAAAGCCCAGTAAGCATAACACCCAAAGGAGCATAAGGCACAGCGAATTTAGCATCGGGCTGTCTCTGAATTCCGGCTGCATGCAACCTAAAAAGTGAATATGGGACAAAGTACTCTGGTAAAGCAATTTGTAGGAAGCTGTAGAGTATGACGATGAGTGAGGTTGACTTGTGATTCATCATCCTGGGAACAGTTTTCGAAAAGCAGTTTGATTAGAATCTCGACGGTCTTCTTTAAGAACCAGTTCATACACTTATATATGATGCGTTAGGTTGAAGTGCTTGAGTTGTTCGAATTATTCCAGCTTGCCGGGCGAAACACCCGCACCTAATGAGTTGGTGGGCAGAAACAGGAGACACTAAGGACTCTTATGGATTTCTGACTGGTGTACCGTCGTGGGTACTTGTATGGTGACTAAGTAAGCTACTTTCATATGAAAAAATGCAAGACAGCTTGCATGCTCTGTATGGTGATACCTAAACATTAGTGGACCTTCTGGAAAAACCAGCTTTCATGTTGTCGGGAGTTCAAGCTTCTTCCGGTGAAAATATTTTCATGCATGCTGCAGAAGAGGGCGCATTTTACTCCTCAACCAATATGGGCAATGTAGACGAAATTTATACAGCAACTTTTGGGCAGTATGGAGCGAAGGTGGTCCAGATGTTATCAAATGAAATTGAGGGCCTTGTGAATTTTAAGCCATAGGCGATTTCCACCATATACTGTCATCTCTGCAACCAGAAAAGATTACTTGGTGCGGTATTGTCAAGCGTCTCTTACACAGCATTCTCAAAAAAGTGTTTGAAGAAGAGTTTATCCTGCACTAAAGAGCATTAAAAAACACCTGATTTCATCCTGTACAATATCGGACCACAACCAACATTTACATTTACTAGTACTGAGCATGAGCGCCTGATCGTCTGAATACATGGGGCATCAACCACCAAGCAAACAACTGGTTAACCTGTTCAGAATGCCAGTTCGTCAGTTCCATGTTTACTACTTCTAAGATTACTACTGACTTTCTCCTATTATTCCATATGCTATGCAGCCGATTGACCATACTTCATTTTTGATCTTGCCTGTATATTCCAAATTGTCCGCCAGATATTGACTTGGAGACAAAAATACATTTACTTCGCTGTATACGTCGAAGTAAATTGTAACAACCATAATGTACATTTTGAACCTACGGGTCAACGTTCATCATCATCCGCATGGACGTGCTCTGTACGTGTTATAAAACTAAGGTGGTTTTTGGTGATCAGAATGTTTAGTTGTGATCTTCATACTATTATTAAAAATAGTCGAGTTCGTGTGAAAGAATTAATAGGTGAAATCTTAGCTGAGAGCCTGAACAGGTGAGCAACGTATACTATAACCCCAGCAATTAGTTATCTCACCTGTTCTGGTTAGCAAAGTATAGATCCTAAGCAGAGTCAGAAAGAATACATGAGTTTTGCTTAACATCATAAGTAGCCTCGGGGTAGTCAGAAAAATTCGAATAGTATGGTTAATCTTTTTTGAAGTTTTTGCTCGCTTTGAATTCTTAGATTATATCCAATAGGCATTGCTTCTTATTCTCCCAGAGTTTGAACGGCTTCGTGAACGTTGTACTTGGTCTTTGACTGGCATCCAGTTTCCAGCAGACCGTTCGGTTCAAACGACACAGTTTCGTATCTCAAAGCGCTTCCAGTAAGTCAGGTTGAAGTCTTGATTTTTAGTAGTAAAAGACATAAAATTAAAAAATAAAGTGATGCAAGAGAATTCAGATACGCTGAAATCTATAGATGACTGCTGGAATATTCCCTGTGACCGTACATTCGTTTCAGCCAATGGGCTTTGCCTCAAGAACTATTATTTCTATACTTTGATGTACTTCTGGAGCCTGAGTTGTATAAAGTTAGAGTGTATAATCCATTTATCTAGGTGAAATTATCATTGCGTTGTTGCGGAACGGTGTGGAGCTAAGCTTTGATAGTTGTGCCTTGAGCATGGTGTGCGCCTTTATACATAGTGCTTCTAAAAGGGTTAACCTTCGATCATCATTTTGTGCCCTGATGGGTAATCATATTGGTTGGATTTTTCACCTGTGTTCTTACCAGAAGGCATCAAGGTAGGCCTTGAAAGTAACCTGCCTGATTCGCACCCCATGAACTTTGCCGGACTGGCTCCTAGGTTGATCCAGCCATCCCATCCTTTTTTTCCGATACTCAGCCGTGTTTGCCTCAATCGATTCATTTAGGAATCTATTGCTCGTGGAGCTGTATTGGATCCGGTCCAAAGTGTTCGTTAAATGGGTTTGTGGATTACCATGCTGTCGGAAATTCTCTTGCGTTTTCGTTACCTCCACGCATCAGAATCTTTGTGTCTTTCATATTGAAGTGAAAACTTTCCTGATCTTAAAGTATGTGAATCGAAGAAAACAAGTCGTATCATCCTACGGTTTCGCGTTTATCTTGATGCATGTCTTCGTTGCTTGACCCATTCCTTGGTTTCGAAATTCGTCTTCTCAAGTTGACACTCGACTTGGAGGACATAGAAAAATTTGTGAACGCAATATTCTGATCTTCACTTCGCACAGATTCTCGACGTAGCGTAGCATGACGCGGTAAAGTGCCTGTTTTCTCCGTTGTTGTTTAGCTACTTTTTCTTCAAACCCCTTCTGGTGAAGTTTTTGAATGAGATTTGGACGCGGTTCGGGTGGTTTCTATGGCATCCGTGTGCTTTTTCTTGCAATATACGCAAGTTTGAAACGTTCCGTTGATGGTGCTCCGGACGAATACGTCTTTCTACAGTTCGATTGTGAATTTACTCCTCTCAGAATTATTGCTTGGTAGTTCTGTGTATTTTTCTTACTGAATTTGTTTTGATGAGAGTAAATGTTTCGTCTACATATTGGATTCAACCTTTGGAATGATCCGTGTTAAAGTAATGTGTTCTAATTTCCGCACTACGGCTTCTTCAATTAGTCCTGATATCGGTGGACGTTTTTTCAGCTATCGGTATACTTATCTATCGAAGCTAAAATATGGGGTCATGCACATCTGTAAGAATCACCAGTGGCTCTTTGGTTTCAAGGTTCCTATTGTGTCGAATTGCCTCTGCGTTAACTTCATTATGGTTTCTTTGGCCAGTTTGGGAGTAAACCATGGGAGCGTGGCTACCGTTTTTAAAATTCATAGTTCATAAGCTGAGTTCAGTTGGAAGCTAAGTGTTTTTCGGGAATAATACTGACGTCCCTCACTTTGAAGCCAATTCTTTTGGAGTTGATTTTTCAGTAGTCACTTGTTCAGGGGAGTTGTCTTGGCTCCATGTTTCATCACCAGACAAGATACCATAAGTGCGAATTCAGACGGCATAGCGTTTGCGGCCTAAATGCCCACTTGAAAGGTCAAACACGTACTTGAGTCCTGTACCGTAAATGCGAGGTATCGCATATAGTGCACGTTAAAAACAATTTTTGTCAGTCCTATATTTTTGCTTCTTGGTCTCACTTTATCTGTTTGATATTTTTGGAAGGAAACTGAACTATCGATACGGATACAGAATTCTTGCATTCAAAAATGGTAGCTCCGCTGAAGAATATGAAGTTGTGGTTGAATCGGGAGAATTTGACGCGGTAAGCTAAAAGTATGAATGAGCAGTAGAGTGAGGGTTGCTTGTTCGAAACATCAGTGATGTTGATGATGAGAAAACAGTTGGGTTAAAAAGGTTGGACGTTGGTTTATTACTCCCAGAACCCATTCATTTAACTAGCTTTAGTAGTTTCTTTGGTTAGAATTCGTGATCATTTAGAATTAGTTCTTCTCAGAACGTTCATTGTGTCCTTTAGAACTGATGCTCCATCCAGGTAAGAATTTGTTATGATACGCTAGAAAGTGTCCTGTTTCTCCTATTAAACTTTCCTTCTAAGTGCTGAATACAAACCTACGACGCACCTAGTTGGTTGTATGTATTTCTTTCTTTCAGTATTTAGTTTTTTATCTTTCAATTTAGTTTGATTTTTAATTTTTTAATTTTTTTTTTGAAAATACTATCGTTGTTAAATAATTCATGTTGTGTAAAGCTATGGTTTTGGATTTGGTCATTAAAACCTATTTGACATGCAACCTAGTCTGGTTCGCGAACAATTAGGTTTCCAATAGGGTCGATGGAAACTATCTACTAACCTGTTAAGCCCCAAGAAGGAAAATAAAACCGGTCATGGGTAAAATTATGGGTAGTGTTATACGTCCAGACCATGTGTTGTGATATCCCGAGTATTGTACCAGCTGAAACATAAGGTAGCCTGTTTGCAGCAAATCCAATTGAAGAATATCATAAGCAGGAGATTTAGCTTGGATTCAGTTGAGTTTCCCGCGAGAACCCAATTAGTGTGCAAATGAGAGAATCACGGTTTTGATGTATTGTTTGCTGAGGTTCAAACACGCCACGTTGTCTTTGTTACAGAAAAGCTTTTAGAGGGACTGGCTTTTCAACAGTTAAGCCACTTTTGCCAGGTTTACGACAGACGTAGAACCACTCAACGAGGTGCCTAACGGACATTATTAGATATCAGCTAAGAACTTTCTGTCTTTATCAGTTAATGTGCACGAGTTATGGTCACAACCATGGATCAAGAGACACGAGTTTGTTTCGGCTCTTGGTGTCTGGCCCGTCTGGTGTATATTAGCCTAGAGGAAGGCATATTGAACCTCTTTCGTAATGTTTGATGGCACTAAAATAATTGGATTGTTGGAAAAGGGTTACGTGTTACCTTGGTATGGGGTCTACAGCCCAAATATGAATCACTTTTCCTAATGACTCCCTTGAACTGCAATTTGTTAAAAGGATAGTCTCAAACCACCTTATCATGCTCACCAGTCCTACCCCAGTTGCTCTCTTCACTCTGAGAGTCCTACCAACTTCTACCGGCCCTACTATTATTAGCTGAACTGTGGATCGCAGTCCTGTCCCTAAAATTTAAAACACCATCATCACGGTTTAAACTAGCACCTTATATTAATCTGCGTTCTCTTGTGATGCTCACAGCTTCCAGTATGTAGCCCCCGCCCCTAGCGTTTTATGTGGTCCTTGATTCGGTCGTCCACAATGGCACTTTGAATACCAGACGCTTCTGTTTCATAGAAAATGCCAGCTGTGAAAAAAACATTTCTCATCGCGTCCTAAAGTCGGAGTGTCTGAACTGTACAATTAAGGAGATGAAATCCCCATGGCGGTTGTCTCCATTGGGAATACAGGATATTCACCCTGCTTAAGCACCCTTTAATCGCTTAAAACACGTCAAAAGTGAATCATCAGAAGAGTAGCTCTATTTCCAAGAGCTATGCAGAAGCCTGCATCCGTAGTTAACTGAACCTGGGTTCAAGACGGGTAAGCTCCCACAAGACTGGCACTTATGGATAGGGGCCACTCTATTGTGAAATCCACTTTGACATATTGTGTTAGCTACGATTGAGTGTGGGGTTTTCAGAGGATGGATAAACTGAGATGTCAAAAAGCTATAGTTGCTGGTTTACTACATTTGAGAACTTTCCGATAAAGCGGTCGGACTAACTGTACTTTAAAGGGCATGTAGATAGTTATTTATATTCTGAGTATTTCGATCTTGTTTCCAAGAAGTTCTGAACTGTGCTAAGCTGTACTTCTCTTAATTTGGACAGCTGTGATCTCCTGGATTTAAGCTGACAATGACTAATCAAGTTTGTAAATTATGTGAAGTGTAGACGGTCTTTGCAGTTGTTTTGGAACAACTATGATTATTGTAGGCTTGGTAGGCCGTAAATCCGGTAAAAGTGAGTCAAAATCGCTAAATATTATCTAAAATGGTGCTCACTGTTGGGCATTTTTCTTTCACCTGCTAGCTAGCCATGTAGTGGCCGAAATGTCAAAATGTGACCGCTTTCTTCGTCCGAAAATAATGTTGAAATTAGCCTACCAAAATTGGACTATCCTGTTGTACCGTCCTTGATCTCTAGTCCACGTATATTGTTGCCACCAGATGGTAGAGCACTGTTGTCTTCGTTTCAAAAATCACTCGAGTACTGAAGACTACTCTGCAAACTTTCTCACAGTTTCTTCAGTTATGCACATCACGGTTTCAACTTGGAGCCCCCGCAAAACGGGTTTTTTCATGGGACGCAAAAGAGATCAAGCAATTTTCAGAAAGTGAGCCTTTGAAATTTCAAAAAGTTTCTAAGAGATTTTGTGATATTAAGACATTCATAAGTTGTGGTCAGAGTTTGACTGTCAGGAACAACTCACAGCATTTTGTGAAGGACGTCTGTCCGTCAAAGAACCATTACCAAGTAAAAGTAAAGCTCTGCTAATGTAACCGTTGAGATGATTTGAGAAATTTTTGAGATCACAAATTTCAATCGAAGCAACAAACTTCCAAGTCCGAAAAAAGATACTTTCTGTTCACCTTAAGAGATTGTTTGCTCCCCAAAAAATATTCCAATGGGAGAACCTTATGCCATCAACGTAATTCATAGGTGAATTCCCGATGAACGGTTGTCTCATCCAATGGGAAAATATTCAACCAAGCTAAAAGTTCTGTTCTCTAATCCCTTTAGCTGCACAACTGTACATTCATATTGTTGTCTACTCACTTCTCTCACGGTCTTCGGTATTTACACGCCTTGTGTAGCCTTAAATGTAACTGACTGTCGACGTTTGCGAGATTTGTTGACTTCATGTTCACACCACTCTCTTTTGAAGAGTCCTTCTTCTGCCCTGGTACACTTATCATGGTAAGTCCACATCAAGGGGGGAAGCATTGAACTCGAGTTTCGCCCTTATCAGGGCTTGTCGGCAGCGCATATCCTTGCCTTGCCGCGGTTTGAACTCCGAACATCTGGAGCGCTAAGTTGGACCGGTTTGACCCGCTTGCTTCGTTTTTTTTGCACCAGCATAGTGCTAGTTAGACATGTGACGTTTTTGGAAACGTATATACACTGTGGTACCCATAGTTACTTTGTCATTAAGACCCCAAAATGTGATCCAGGCCAAAAAATCTGCTTGACAGTGTCACTTCTGACAATACGGATAGTTGTTCTAAACTCAAAGATAAGAAAATCGTTAAAACGTTTGTACAATAAACATAGCTATCCTATCAAAGTAAAGAAGTATTCGTAACTGGATTTGGTACACTTTTTGGTTCTCATCACTTACGTATCAGGATTCATTCCACAGTACCACTGCCGATTCGAGAAGTCAGTGTTTGAGGATAGGAAGCAACACGCGTGGTAAATTGATAAATAGCAGGTTCCCATCTATTGTTATTATATTTGGTGCTTACGATACAGACTCTATTGATTTTATCGTTTATTGCATTTTTTCCTAAGTAAACAACACGTTCAGATCAATTTCATCTAAACACTCCTTCCACTCTCTTAGTCTCTACAAACGACACAATCGCCTACAGCTAATCAAAACTGTCCAGTAAGTTTCAAACATCCGTGGAACTACCTCAGCGGGAAGTCCTGACAAGTGGGTCGATCGGTCGACACAACCAGGATAGATACTGCGTCATCGACGCGTCAAGCAAAGCGGTCACATCGCTCAGACATAAACATGTTTGCCTGTTCAAACGTGATAATTCGGGTGCGTGGTGGAGTGATGGTGACACGTTAGCCTCGCATTTCGAATGTCCGGAGCTCAACCTCGGTATTGCTGGTAAGCTCTGATGAGAGCAAAACTCGAGCCCGTTGCTTCCTCCCCTTTGGCAGAGACTCACCAGAATAATTGCGCCAGAACCATATGGGGGCTGCGAAAAAGAGCGTGGTGAGGCGGTGAATTCCACAGGTTTTGCAGCCACTTGCAATCAAACAATAAAACAGCAATAGTTTGTAACGAGCTGGGCGGAAGAGTTCGACTCTCACTTAGGTATTTTATATTTAACGTGTTGTGTTGATCGTGGTCTGGTGTCTCTCCTCAATCCGTGGAGCAGTACACTTGAATATATGGTATCACTTTCGGAAGTAATACGATTTTAGAGAAAACAACGGTATGAACTGCGTGATGGAAGCCATATTTTATCCAGTTAGGAGGTACCAATACAACTGGTCAGCCGTATGCTGCTCAGTCAGTGAGCGAAAACCCACCTTTTATGCCCAACTCGCCCTCAATCAAATGGTTTCATTCCCGATGGAAATATTTCGCTCAGTTTATATCAAAGGAGAGAACAGGCATTGGATTTCCTTCATTAAACCCTATAAGCATTTTAGATCTAACAACGTAGATGGACCTCAACTTCCAAGTAGGAGAGCTGGATCAGCTCAAGGTGAACGTGCGCGAAACATCAGGTCTGAATTGCCGAACACGATTAATTTTAAGCGATTGCTTAACAGGCCCTGTGCTTCCAGAAATAGCACTACCACCGAAAAGTTCTCAAGTCTGCGCTTGAAAATTCAGAATCTCTCCATCATACCGTAGTTGCTTGTTACGAGCAGCAGTTTTGGTTAGCACAGTGTTTACCTTCATTCCACTGAAGGTAAAGTGAAGGGGACAGAAACTTAAGCAACAATGTGCAATAATTTCAGCCCCATGTGGAATAATTAGCAGTACTTACCCTGCGCATCTTGAATAAAACTCGTTTTCATGAATCCCAAAAGTGAACACTTCAAGTATCTTCACCTAGACCGACCGATACACAAACACGATACATTTAATGTAATGCAATCCCATTAGTTGCACATATCATTTAAGTGAGACCTACTAGGTCTTATCAGACGACAACATCTCATCTAAATTTAACTTCAGGTAAAGCACCGGTGAGCTCAGATTTCTTCTCAGCCTTCCACCATGTAGAGGGAGAAGCTCCGTTGTTGTCTTCAGGCGTTTGGGCAACGAGATATTTAGAAGTTCCTTTTATAAGCAACTCACGATTTAAGTGACTGTACTGAAGAGAGAAAATTCCTTCCGGACCATACTAATTTGCAATAAATGTGCAACGTTGTCTCCACAGAGGCCTTTACCCAATTGACCCTCAAAGTGCCCAACGGACGCTAGTGATCGCGCTATTGGAGCAGTCCTAAAGCCGAGGAATGGAGTTATCGAATATACCAATCGTGTCCTGACCAACGCCAAACAAAAGTACTCAACCCTTGAGGAAGAATGTTTAGCGATCGTCTGAGCCCTGGATAAGTGGAAGCCAATTCTGCTAGGAGATTCCACTTTTATCTCCGTTTTCATTCTCCAACTAGCACAAAATTTGGTTCGCGAAAAGGGTATTAACGTATGGCCACAAACAATATGTCTTTTAAAAAAAGCACATGGTTCACTGAGGTTGCCTCGTTTTATAAACTCTAGCTGCAAGTTCGACGTTTTGCATAAGACTAGTGGAACAATCCATCGTTGCCAAGCGGAGTTAAAAGGTGCATTTTACCATCTTGATTGTGCAAACCTTTCCATCGACAGTACCAAAGTTTGATCGGATTTTCGCGACTGAAGAGGCACAAGTGCACCCGAGCTACCATCTTCTGGGACCCGTTTGGATTTCCAAGGGCGAGAGCTTGAGTCCATCTGGAGTGCACGGTTACCTACAGAGGTGCATCGCGTCTCTGAGCCCAAAAATATCAGCATTGAAAGACCGTAAAGAACAGGTAGGTGGGATTCACGTATTTGAACTCCGATGTTCAAGGAACAAAAGTTTAAACGAATGAAATATTTTCTCAACAGTTAGACGTAGTCTGCTGAGCCTAATATTAAGTAACCACTGGTGGGCTGTTTTGAACAAATTGGTTAAAACTAACCCAATCCAGTTCACCGTTTAGAAAAAAAACACTATGAGTACATAGTTGTATTCTCTGCCAGCAAGCATGAGCGGCAGAATTTAATCTAGTAATTCTTCAGAATAGTTTTCTTGGTTTTGTTAGTTAAAGTCTCTTTTAATTATCAAAATTGCGGACGTCTGGGAGCCATCAGACTGTGCAGGCTCTACTCTCCTGACTCACTAGCAGTGCATTCATATGGGAACTTTTACTCATTCAGAAAAATTGGTTTGCAGGAGCACAAACGCCAGATATTTGCGGTTGAAACGAGACCTTTAGTTGGATGACTGGACCATCCTTTCGAACGACTCGTCGCCTACATTCTGATGGAGAATCGTTTAGTAGTACTTATCTAATTCCGATAGGTCAAGTTCAGGAAACAAAGACAAAGCCTTTTCGTTTACAATGCAGCACTGTGGGGTCACCTTGAAGCTACTTCTGACGACGGCAGAACCAATTTTCAAATGTCAAAATGAGACCTGGATCGTTGGTGAATTCCCGTACGCCTCTAATCATGCACGCGACTTTCAAAATGGTACTTTGTAGGGACAAAGAAGCGGAGATTGCTCTGGTCTGAGAGAGCTACTTGAGTGGTGATAAAACATTTGCAATCCAGCTACCAAGCTCGTCAATCTGGCCAACAACCAAGTACTTCTAATAGGTCTGATTATAATAGGAAAAAGTGATAGAAAAAATCTCATCGCAAAAGACTAATAAATAAATAAAGGTTGTTTTGAGGCTCAGTAATGCTGAGTAACCTTTTCGAAGGACCGTCAATGCATGTAAGTTACGACCCATCATTAGCTTTCGAGGATTATGTCTACAACACTCCCTGGAATTGACACAACCTGACTGCCAAATACTGAGTGCTTGTAACAAAGTCAGCACGGGTTAGTAAACAATGTTGCTATCAAATCCTTTGTCGAATACAACCATACGCGATCGACAGTAACGTTTTGAATCATCAAAACAATTTATTGGGCATAACTGAGAAGTTCGCTTACTTCTGGAACAGTTTTTAATAAAGAAGTTTTCGAGAACGAACTATCAAATGCTGTTAGGATGGGAATACAGTTAGTTCTAAGCCCTTCTGCAAACACTTTAGCGGTAAACAGCAGAGGAGGACAAATAAATATTTCAACGATTCTAGAACACCAGTGTCTTTTAACTGTGTCCTCAGCACGGAGGCTATACTAAGTGCTTTTTATGCAATGTAAGGTGGTCAAAGGTGTCCTCAAAGAAGTGCCAGAAACGATAAAGAATCAGGTATTCGGAAACTGAGTCATGCTATAACCAGTAGGCTTAATATAGTTGGAGGCCAAATGGAGAAATTTAAACGGTGAACCACTGACTTCCAACTCACTTAAAACTAGTTTTGCGACGAACGTGATATAAAAGCTTCGTCTATGTAAAGCCCCCAACAGAGGATACATACAATCAAATTTTATGAGGCAATCTGTTTTCCAGTGCTACGAAGATTAAGGGCTTCCCATAAGACGAAAACCGGATTTCGTGACCATTATAAGAGGATCCTGTGCAAAGATTTGCTCCTGTGGTAACGCTGAGGTCATTTGAAGCAGCTCTTCTGTTGTGCATACATTGAAACAAATTTTCCACACTGCTTATAACTACAGTTGGAAAATACCAGAGATGGCAACCATGAGCATGTCAGAAATAAAGCGATCTTGTCGATGAAAGCCCAAGAACTCGATGACGAAATACAGAAAGTAAGTTCATGGACTTTGTGTTATTTTTATCGCTACGTGATTAGCACATTACTGGAGATCTTTGGCCAATTATAAGTTCACCGAATCGATTAGTAATCAATAGTCATCAGTCAACGTATTCTCATTCAAATGCCCGTGTTGGCGATGTTATCTCGGAAGGATTCATCTCTGATTCATCTCTATCCTTCATTTTTAAAAGGACCTTCTACACCAGTTTTGCGTTTTCATACACTATGACTCACTGTTTCTGGCTTAAGGGTACTATACGGCCCTTGATCTAAAGATATAATGGCGAAGGTTTTCAAATAAGTCGTATGACCTTTGTTCTCAGTAAGGTATAGATTAGACCCGGTTAAGCAGGCTGAGTGAGTAAAACTTTTGATGAGTGCTGTGTTTCACAAATTCTTCCGGTCGAGCAGGTCTTCGTTTATGTCACCAGCTCTTGGAACTTGCAACTGACTTTCCCCTCAGTTCATTTAGGATTTATCATCTAAGCAGTGGCGCCAAAGCAATTACAACGAGATTCATTATCACGACTACCAGAGACTTTCTCCAAAAGAAACTTTCACGGTAAAATTCCCTCTTCTGGAGAAATACAAAAACAAACTTCCTTCTTGAGCGATATTAAATATGCTATTTTTCCGAAGATTTATCGCACTAGAAAAGGCCTCATACATAGATTTCCCGTTATGTTTTTTCATAAAGACATCACGACAAAAAACCATAGCTTTTGTGAGCAATAGATTGCAGTAAATGTTTTTAAAAAAAGTAGTCTGGCATCAAGCCTAGTGGAATGCAGTTATAATGTAATATTTATAATATAATATATAACATTTATTCATAGAATACAACATAATATAATATAATCATAACAGCCTTATCAAGCCCAAGGCAAACAAGCTTCTTATTCAAATCTACCGAGTGAACAAGCCGTGAATATAGCGTTATACTTACAAACATTCATATGTAGCGAATGTTTTCATGGCACTGCAAGCGTATCAATGAAGAATGGGAGTAAAACTGGCAGTCTGTCTATTGTCACTTGAAAACGAGGGTTTATGGACATGGTGTAGAAAGGTGGGTAATAAACGGACGATATCTTGCATAACACCACAATGATAACTAGCCCTCACATATGCTGAGAGCAGCTGAAGTTGGCATTCTGATGAACATAACCATTCTAATTGCTATCAGATGTACTCGGTAGTTACTATATCCGTAACACATCTCACTGCCACTGCTGTAGAAATACGAGCTGTTGCATTCCCACACTCTCCTGTCAACACCCGAGGGGACGTTGCCACCCCTGGAAATACATTTGAATTCGTTAATGATGTGCTTGTTGAGCTTGGCTGTGAGGGGTTCAGTGAGTCCTAGCCAGCACTGCCAAGGTCCCCCAGACCTAGACAGGAGGACGATTAGGGTCCTCGATTAAAGTCTGACCGCAGAGCAACGACGTTTGGCGCGGAAATCCTGTACTTTTTCTTTTTAAAGAACAATTTGACATACGTTCAAACCCTTACCTGGAAGGCCAGAAGACTGTGTTGGTCAGACCTCTAAACATTGACCAACCAGGTATGAGGGACTCTGTGGGTGTCACGCCGATACTCCCCAGTAAAGCCTAATGGGTCACGTAGGGTTTATTCCTTTTCACGCCATTCGGTAACCACAACTCACCGGGTCGGTTTTTTGTACGCTACACGATGGCATTAACCAGCAAGTGTAGGATCATTCACAGAGAACCGGAATAATTCTTTAAGAAGTATGTTACGCATGGTGTCTCGAACAAGACAACATTTAGCTAGTTTTGTTCTAGGTGACTGATCACTCCCTTTCTGCTTAACAGGCTTCAGAACAATTAGACGAATCCACAGCATCGTTTAACACGCTAAAAGCAATGCAGGCGCAACTATCCGAGGATGTAGAACGGGAAAGAGTAAGTCATAGGCTGACAAATATACCGCCTTTGCAATGTGTGGTGCTCTTACTTATGCCAAAAACAAGCCAAACTTTGAAGAAATGCACTTTTATGACTGTGGTTGACTGAATTTTACACCTCAACCAATTCGGAATAACCTATTCAATTGTTCTTTGGGTTGACTCACGGTTGGTGTTCCAGCCGTTACACTCCGACCATATCAACGTTCAAATTTGAATCAGTACAGTGGAACAGTTTGTAATCTAATACTAAGTATTGAGCAGAGACTTGTGGATGTATCGACCAACCGTCAACTAATAATTAAATATTCATCAGTCTGTTTGGGCTTACGTATTTCACTAAAAAGGCCTCAGTTTGTTTGGAGTGTATATTTTATACGCCTGCAACGTTCGAATAAAATATTGAGTTTGTGACCTTTATAATTCAGATAAAAGTTGTATCAGTTTGGCATGTTCCTGGTAGCCCAGGGCAAACAAATCTCAAATGGGCACCGATGCCCGTTGCTGGAACAAGTTGCGAAGGAAATACTTTAATCAAAAACCAGGAGATCATGTGCTTTTTTCGCCACAAATAGAAATGAACCGGTTGGTTAGGGCAGAAGACGCCGAGTTCAATCCATAGTTTCGTTTGACCTCCGGATATGTCTATTAAAGCACCAGATAAGTATCCCCAACTCCTAGTGGCTTGGTTCTACATATATGCCTGCCGAGTTTCTGCTCTTAATGCAAAATCACATTTTCAGATCAGGCGTGTGTGTATGGAAAACTTCATCTAATCGCAGTAAACCTATGACTGAAACTCGATTGAAAATTCATAATGGTAACAAACAAGGCAGCCGATTTTCTCCTAGACGTTTTTAGAGTAGAAGGCAACGGTTCAAATTGTACTGCTTTTGAAAGTGATTGCACCCTCGCCATAAAAATATTGGGATGAGGGTAACAAAGTTTTTAAATTATAAACTTATGCATGTGACCGAAAACTCGGGTCAATCTGGCCCTGTAACGATTCAGACTTGCTAAACGAAGTGTAGTTAGTTTGAGGTATAAGAGGTATTTAATCCTCATGCTCGCCACTAACTGAACCTTTGATGACGGGAAGACTACGAGTATCAGTGTTACCGGCAAATGATAACGGCTACAGTAATACCTGGTGATGCGGGTTGGAGTCGGTGTAATCATGTTTGAACGTGATCAGAAACACTATGGGAAGTGGTGCATAAACGACCTTTGTCAAAGGCATGGTATCGTTTCTTAGCCAAACCAATATGCCCTGTTTTGCTTATCGTTGTGCACTGGGTGTGCGTTTAGTAAGTTGAGCCAACAAGGCACCACTAGCCTTTTGGTTCTAGCTTTGTTACTTGACCTAGAACAACACAAGATCTCCACAATGGGCTGCATACGTATCATCCAGATACCAGCAAAACTACCGAAGTGAGCTGCGAAGAGGAGCCATTGGTAGATTCATTTTGAGTTTGAGAACGATTTCAGGTCTACCACCCGTCTGGCTAAATGATCAAGCGTCAGAATTACCCACAGTCAAGTCCAACCAAAATCGTCCTAGGCCGTGTGTTTTACTCAAACTGCTTGTTATGTTTATCAGCATAAAATGGACTTGGTATTAAGCTGAATGAGAGTACAAGCAGTTATCCAAATGTTGGTAAACTGCCTGATAAGCTATTTACACTCAAACTGAGATGAAATGACAGGCATCCTCGTGCCGGTCGTAAGAACAGCTGCGGTTGTGCGTGAAGAGTGGGAAGTCACACTTAAATCCTAGTAGCCTTAAAGATTCGGATGTTGCCACAACTGCATCCCCAGATGCGACTGGTATCCCATTTGTAGTTGGTGACAGTGTTGATGATGCACCTCCCATGAATTTGTACAATATTTACCACTTATCCCGCTTCACAGGTTGAAGGCTGTCACTTCACGATGCGCCACATAAACAAAATAGACGCAAATAATCCGCTGGCCGAACAGCCCTGCCTCAAACTCAAGGTGAGTAGATAGGTCAAACTGGTCAATAATTGATGATGGTTGAATGTTTGATCAGTGATTAGAAGAACTTGCTTCAATAAGGGAACAACATTGTGTAGAAAGGTCTAAGTTCAAGAGTAGGGACAAGCTGTTGAAATATTACTAGAAGAATTGCATTGTGCTCGGAATTAAGCGATATACAATTTTAGGTATATTTTGCTTGGTTGTTTGTATCCCGACGAACGTATCCATTAAAAAAACGGCTAAATTCTTTGGAAATAGTTTTTTGGCGTTCAGTAAGCTGCTCGTCACTGATCCACCTAGGTGCAACATTGTAAGACAAACTTAAGGTTCAGTGGACTATTTTGGTGATTCTTTTCCCTGAGAAGTCATTTCAAACTACATGCTGAAAGATATACAAGTAAAAAATTGCGGGTGCACAGAACAGTAAATATCATGCGGTTTGTTGTTGATGCTGGCATTACGCCTAGTATGATGCTATACTATTTGATCAGTCTGAGGCCTTCAGTTCTTTTTTGAAAAGGTTTAATGACAATCGGTAGATTTATTGCTGGGCAACGCTTCGCATTTGACACAAAGGTTCATCGGGCCAAGTGACCAGGTTCCGAGGTTGGTCGAGATTCAAGGCGGAAGTAGAAGGAATCAGCTAAGTCAAGCTAAATCTCTGTTGGGTATCGGCAGAGGGATTTTAGTGTTTCTTGTTTGATCCATTTGATGATCCCTCTTGAACGTCGTTTGAACTTTCTCTCCGTCTGTGTGGATGTGCTAGTGGCCAGCAATAAATCTGCCGACTGTCACCAAATTTTTCAAAAACCGTGACTACTCTATCGGTTCTAAGTATTTTTCGCCTTCGATTCTTCTTCGCCTCAGTTGAAGGTTCTGTGCATTTGTCCTAAGTTTTCATTTGCATTCAGGCAGTTTTCACAAGTTCTTCCGTCATTCGAAGTTGTGTTTAGCCAACTATATTAGTACACGTTGCAGGTGACAATTAATCCCCTAGTTAATCCCCATTTAGTGATTCATCTGTTTCACTTTCCTCAGCCCGTAATTTAGTTCATGACTCCTAGTGTAACCAAACGTGACTGCAGGGTTTATAAGGATATGCCATCGTATTCAGAGCCTCAGTGCTCCAACGCCCTGGGGGCACGTGTGGAGCTGATTAGAAAGCCAACTTAGCACGTGTAAGACCGGTAGCTGAGGAGAAAATCTGGACCTGTGATTTCAAGCATGGTTACTACACATTGCCCGTTTCGAGATATACGGGACCTGTTTTTAATTAATACTACATAATTTGTACTACGACAACTAAACACAGATGTGTTTTAGATTAAGTGAAGATTCGTGAAACCTCTGACGTCATTCATTTTTATCCTCCTAGGTGGCTGTAATTGAAGGGCAGGAGAAATCGGATTTCTTTGATGTGTTTTTCAATATTCAACGTGCAAGTAGAGGGGTCAAGGATCCAAAGGTTGTTCTTCACAGGGTAAGTCTAAGGATGAATACTTCAAAAATTAAAAATCACAGGATTGCTGTCTTTTTTTATCCAAATTGCTGTTGTTTCCCAGTGAAAGACATAATAGGCTCTATTATTGGGTAATTACTTACAAATCCTTGAGTAATCCCTGGGGACTCCTACTATGAAAGGGTAAATACCAGCTGATTCCTCTTAACTTCAACGGAACAAGCGACAAACGGGGTCTCAAGATAGTGTTTAAGTCCTACCTTTTAGCAATAATACCTCAAATAAAGTTTGCTACTATACAAGGGCTTAAGTGAATTTCGAAAAAGGAATATACCTCCCTTCAAATGTGGTTAAGTTTATTCAACAATTTTAGGGATATATCGACCCTCTGATTAATGACAGTGATTTGATTGTGCTGTATCTTGTAACTTCGGAGACTATCGGTTAATCCGAAGGAAAGACGTTTTAAACTACTGCAGACATTTCAAAACTCATGGAGTTAAGTATTCCTTAAAATAGTTTTTAACTGACCGTCAGTACGACTGAAGTTAAAAATAGGAACGGTCATGTATGTTTGTGGTTAAAGAAAGGGTTAGATGGGGAACCTGAAGGTGCAGTACAATATTTCCTCGTGATGAACAAGCCAAATATTGTGACATCTTTATCGTTTGAGCGGAACTCAAACGTAGATTTTTAGCAAACCAGACTCTGGTAAAATTGCACTGCCCAACTTTCAAACCGAAATTATTAACGTCTAAATCAAGCGTCACATCCTGAGGCGGACTGTTGTCATACTGGATATAGATTACTGGTAGTGTGAGAAGATATGGGAGTTTCAGTGGAGATTTCCACCCATCAGTGAAGCTAATTTATGCTGAAAAACCAAGAAGTACTAAAAAGCTCTTGAATTCCCGTGCTCAGCCTTTATCCCGGTAAGGGGGAGGCGAACACGCAGATCCCCGGCAAGTAACTTGAATACAATCCTTCGACCGCTAGCGGCTAATAAACAGCCTGATTAGTTCCCATGTGGACAGTACATGCTGTGTTTGAAGTGGATTCACTATAACGAAATGAACCACATCTCTCACTTCCAAAGCTACTACATGAACGGTAATAGACTCAACGCGGCACCTATGCACACATCAAGGTTTTGACGTGAAATATAAAAGCCATCGAACTCAACCAAAAATTCTGCGCTTTTACACGAACTTCATCTCCTGGTCACTTTTTAGATTGTTCAGTGGGATGGCTTAAGAACGTTTATTCTATTCTTTGAGGTAAACTCTGGATACCTTCCAGTGTGTTAGTCGACACAATCAAACTGGATCTTTTCTTCTGTTCTTGGTTAGGTGATGACTGAGCTTATTTTCCCACCATCATGACAATGTAGGATAGGAATAAATGAATCAACCTTTCAAATTATTTCAGAAATGGAAATAATTCTAACTTGAATAAGTCTTAGATAGTGAATGTACATACTAGATAGTTTCGATTTTGCGATATGACACTTATGCAGAAGCCCGAAAGGAGTTATATCCACTTTCAGTAGTGATCAGAATTAAGAAACCAATAGGTACCACTATATCTACCCAATTTCTTTGTTTAAATTTCAGTTGCTAATCGAGAGCATGACTTCGGACTTCTGTAACTAGACCAGTATCGATTGAGGCTGAAACTAGTGAGGCCTAGCACCACGGTAAAAGCAAAATTAGGAAGTAACTGTGTAGAAGACCTGGCCTTATGGTAGTTTCGGATTGGCTCACTCAATTTTCAAACGCCCATTGGTCAAAAGCCTACTTTGGGTCGTTCTCAAACACAATGAGACCTAGTTGTGATAATTGGAATAAACTAAATCGTTAGGTGAGTTGAGCATCAGATGAGGTCGTTTAACGTTATAACCAAGGCATGTTTGACAATCCTCTTGTTTGTATGACAGTCCTCTTGTTTGTTTGTTTTCGCATTCCCATAGGAACGCGAAAATACGTGTAAAAAACTCAACATGTTTATCACTAAATTGGAAGCTTTCTAGATATTCCTCAGTTTATTTCACCAACATTCGGGCTAGTCCATTTCAGAGGGCGAGGACCGGAACTCACGTTTCACCGTTACTTCTACACATCTCGTGTGCAAATTTTGAGTCTGATTCCTCGACTGAAATCCTTGAAACTATTCAGATGATGTCCGAAACACTACCCGTCTATATGAATGTACTGATCAGGAGACACTACGGAGCACCACCTGCTAGACAACTTTGTCCGGTTAATTTGGTGCATCTGCAGTGGATCAGACTTACCACACAGTACCTGGGCGTAAAAATGATTGCCTGTTCAGATGTACTAACTTAATTTCGTTCAGCCTACTCTAATGGCCGACTCACATGCAAGCTATCTACCGTTTGACGGCCGAAATAGGGAAGAACGTGTGCACTGCAGAACTAGGTCAACAGAGATATGAATGTGTGAGACTAATGTAGACTGATGCGTTGAGTGTTAGTTACAAGTTCTTTAGCTCCCCCTTCCAGTAGGCCAACAAGGTTGACACCCCACTGGACCTATTCTTAGCTAAGTTTTTTCGAAAAAATTGAGAGGCAGCTTATGGAGTATATTTGTAGGTTGCATAACGTCAACGGTGTCCATGTGATATTATGGTAACAGCTTGTGATATGCTACACTTTGACAGTTCACTCTTCTTATAGACAGTGTTCACACAACGAGGAAGCCAGTGAATCCCTAGCATTCCTGAACATCTTAGTTATACACAAATTTGATGGATCTCTTAATTGTTAGAAGACTCGTTAGAAGACTCACCAAAGTAGGGGCTAAATACAGTAAGAGCGACTATTGGTCAAAGGAATCAGAATAACTGCCTCTAAGGACACGGAATTTTCTTCTTCAAAATACAGGGTCGACTTAAGGAAGGAGTCACCAGCGTCCTCTATGATAAGAGGACACAGGCATTACGTTAACATTAATTATACTTTTAGCAACCGAATTCATGTGTCCTATGGTTCATCCAGGCCGCTCCAAAAAATCGATCAAAGCCCTAATTATATGTTCAAAAACAACTTGATTTGACTTAATTGAGTAGCACGGGACGATCACTTGTGACACAGAAACAACTATCAGTTTTGCCTATTTTTTGATAGACGTTGACCCTCGAGGCTGAAAAAGTAAACTAATGATTCGAACGTCAAGTTGTTCAAGTGCTTGCGTTTAAGCTCACGTGTGAAAAAATCCCTGGAGCCGAAAACTCGCTTAGTTAGTAGTAGCACACTGATACTTTTAGCGCCACGTACGGAAAGCAGATTTAGGTTCTGTCGTGAAAATATTCAATGAATGCTTGCGGTATGGTCACAAGAAGTAAAATTTATTTGTAAATACAGGAAAAGAGTATTAAGCATCTATCTGAGATTACATAGAATGGTTATAGATAGCATTACATTGTATCGACATATCAGGAAAAACGAAATAAATAATGGTAGCAGGGGACTAATTAATCGTTTCCAACCGCTTTTCTCTATCAGCGCAAAAGTTTTGAGCATATAACAGCTCTATCCGACATGGCTTGTCAATTCGTGTATAGCCGTAGCGTTAAGTGAGTCTAGGATGGGTCAGCATAAAGATTTCCTCATTGAGGTTTTGGCGTAAGAGTTTGTCTATGGGAGAGTAACAGATCGACGGGGTTATTTTTTAGTGATTCCTTGAGGAAATGAGTACTAGAAGACAGAATGGAAAATACCAAATTGGATCTAAGTTACTCTAGTTTAGATATCCAAGCGTTTCTTTTTGAACCTTCTGTCACCATCTGTCACCTTCTGACGCCAAAGTAATCATAGCTTCCCTTGTATTTTGTCAATCTCTCGGACAAGCAAAGACGTCGAAAACCAATGGTGGCTTTATCTACACTTAGGGCGGTAAAGAAAGAGTGCAATTTGCCTATGTTTAGTCACTTTCGACGCTTTGTAGATGCAATGCTTTTAAACAGATCCTGGAATTCGATATCACCTAAGTCTAGTTATCACCAACCAGCTTAACGTTTTCAGCAATGATAAGTACGTTATCTTAAATTTTGGTCATTTTATCTTTTAATTTTCAGGACTTTAAGTCAGCTGATTTATTAGAACTGGCCAGTTAAATGAGCACTTTAATTAAATTGGCACTTACTACTGAAAAAAGTGACAAATAAGCTAATACTCGTTTGAAAAAATATTTCCTTGGTTGCTCAAAAACAATATAAAACATAACAGCTATGTAAATGACCACTGTGAACCCCGATCCTGAACCGCGACCTTAGGCCATCTGAAATGAAACAATTATCAGTAAAAACCCAAAGAAATGGCGGTGATAAATGTTGATTAGTTCGTGATGGCAAAAAAAAGTGCTAATTACTGAGTCAGAGCACTTGGCATGCAAGATAAAAAATCCTCTCATCTTTTGATGAGACTACCGGAAATTGATGAAACTGGTAGACATCCTAAGAAACTTTTCCATGCTCAACTATGTGCGTCTAGGTATCCTTGGATAGCGGCATTCATTTACCCGATCATCACTAGTAGCTAATTTGCCGATGCAAAAAATATCGGGTCGCATCAACTTGTTGGAATGTTGGTTTTTATCACACTTGACCTAGCAGAGTCCGAGATCTGGACGCTAAAGAAGTGTAGCCAGAATACATTGTTGGATTTTCTCACGAGGTTACTGAAAACTTTTCGACAGACCACGACTAGTTTAGCCTTTCTTGGAGCTCATTAGTCAGGCACAGTCTCCGAGTTTCCGTCAACCTTATGTTCTACTTGAACCCGAATTTGAATAACTTCTACAAATACATTCACTTACGTAAAAAGCGGGTCTATTGTGAGCAGTTTCTTTTATGAAAATATCCCGCGATATCTCGAATATTGTACCAACTGAAACATGAGGCAGCCTCTGGGCAGCACATTCAGTTGAAGAGTATCACAGCGAGAGATTTAATTGGGTCTCTGATGAAAACCAAATGCATTGTTACACCTTTCTTACACTTCTCCAAACACCGCAGTTTCCAGTTTCAGAATGATCGAGCGTCACCTGAGCAATACTGTCTCCCTAACACGCGCTTGACTGGCCACCACTTCCAAAGATCTTCAGTTCTTGCACTTTTAATCAAATGGAGTTGCAAGCATAGATGATGAATCCTTTTAGGAACTATCCATCTCAAAGTTTTCATGAGCTTTAATTCACCTATAATGATGGACTTTAGTCCACAACGTTGATTCCCAATAATCCAGAACTAAATTGAATTCAGCGTCCTATTTAATATTGAGTAAGGATTCAGTGACTGAATTTTGTCATACGGATTGGAACAACCTTTGAAAAATCAACACACAAATCAACCACACAAATGCAGTCTGCGGTTGACAATATTGAAAGATTCCTCCAATAGTTTAGGCCGTAGTGGCGCTATAAGATGCGAATACAGTGATTTCAAACGTATGAGTGCCAAGGTATGAGGCTGAGTCACGAAGAGTTAATCCACGTGTTTTAAGCAACATACCAGACGTGTATGCCAAGCATGCTAAGGACAAGCCACCAGAGTGAAAAATGAAGTCTCATTTTCATTTTTATCCTTGAGCGGACCAGAGTCAAAAACAGAAAAGTGATTTTATCAACTGCAAATTCAATATTGCAGTCAGTTTGAGGATTAAAAGCGAACGGCAGTCTGGAATTCCCAAAGCAGTTGGCTACCACAAAAACAGCTAACGTGAGAAGAACCGTGTAAATACCCATGCACAGTATCCTGATGAAAGTACAAAGTGTCTGGCAGCTCAATAGTTGGTTATAACTAGCCCGTCATTGCTTCACAGTTCATTTGAACGTAAAACAAATTCAGCATTTACAGTAATAAATATTTTCCGGTAGGCTTTAATCGCATCACCCACCTGCGTTGCTTCTTGTAAAGTCATTTAAAAAGGAAATTTACATTTCTTAGGATGCTGTGATGTATTAGATGCGCCATTAAACATGGATCCAAGGTAACTACTGGAAATCGATCACTTGGGAAGAGATGAAATGAATTCCCCGGGTTCATGCCGCTTGAACAATCGAACCATCTTAATTTGAGGAAGAGCGCTATGGCCTGAAACCGGGATAACCTATTAATTATGCATTGTTGCAGTATTTGCTAAAGTTTTCACTGCATTTCCAACCCTGATCACGGCATCCACCTCTCTCTTTGTTGCGTGCAGTTACTGGAACAGATATCTCAAACAATAAACAGAGTTAACTCCCAGGCGACACAAAATAAAAGATCGCTCAGGCGTTTATTTTTCGCGGATGGTAGAGAAGTCAGAGAGGTCAAGCACCTCCACGATGATGATACACTTCTAGCCTCATTTGGACAAGTGGATATGCAACCAAAAGGTTAGTGGTCTAAAAATTTTGTTTTGTGTTTGGTCCTTGAAAATGACCTACCTTGTTTGATAAGGTCGAAATAATGTGAGTCGGTTTAGAAGTTTTGCGTAGGAATTAATGGAGCCTACTTTATTTATCTGGAGGAAACAACTCAGAAGGTTTCTAAAGGCCATCTGATATCCTACGAAAGGTTTATCTATGTAGTGTGCGAGGTTTTGACCAATGTAATTCACACATTGTAGAGTACTGCTTATCACTAAAGTAACTGGTTCTTCAGAAGGCGGCCGAGCAGAACAAATCATTAGATTTTATTCATTCCTAGGTATATGTATTTGTGCTCCGTGGAAGTTTCCCATGATTTAGCCCGTAATCCGAAGTGAAAAACGAGAGTCAGGCAGACGCTTCACATATATTCGATGATCATATTAATCAGACTCTATGGTAGATGACAAGTTAGAGTGCTTTATAACACCTGTTAGTCAGCCACAGCTTTCACCGCCATATTCATTGCCTTTTCTAATGCAACCCGTATATGATTATGTAACTTCCTAAGCTCTGTTGAACACAATTCATACATTACATATTACAAAGTCTAATGACAAAACTCTTTTGTTTCTATCGAACCATCCCAGATTATTCTCTGCAACTACACTTTATGAAAATTTTTCGAGAAGCTAATGGAAACCTGACATTCAAATCTGCGACATCTGAAGAGATAAGGTGAGTGAAATAGATTGCTGAATCTGCTATTGTACAGTAGAGTAGGTCAGGTAGAATTTTATTCCATAATTTGATGGTTTTCCCGTAGACCTCTTAAATCAACTTTTGCGAATCAATTAATTTGCTCTGATTACGTAAGTAGAAATGGTGTATTCCTAGTTTGCCCTCACAATGAACAACGGGAGGCAGTTTGGAACCTCTGGTAAATATTGTGAGGAAAGAGAATCACATATGGATGGATAGCTTAGGTTTTCGCTGAAGTGGCTATCGAACACTAATGCGCTTGACTAAGCAAATTCCACAGTTTTGCTCGTTTCTGTTTACTATCTGTTTACCACCAGCCATTATTCTCCTTAAGTTAAATATAACAGTAGCTTTTTCCAACGGTACACCCCATTGTTTGGAAAGCTGATCACGCAATTAAGAAGTTTCGGCTTTTCAAAAATTTCACTTATTTCGCACCATGAATATGTTGGAGAGGTTGTGGCACTTAGTACTTGGTGAATGAAATTGCATTAACACACGCCCCGATTGCTTACCTTCACAGTTCACGCATCTGGTTGCCTAAGGAAAGTCTTGTGTACGAAGAACAGTTTGAACATGTATACGGCGGTCAGTATGGAGTAAAACTTGATAAAGAAGACGGAGTGGAGAAAACATCTTCAGAGTACCTTAGTGGGCTGACCCTGTTACAGTCTCAAGTGAGTCAGCACTATTGGATGGTTGGATTAACTGTCTCACCGTTTATAAACAACATTGTGTTTACAGGTCACTCTCGCGTTCAAGACCTTGTCTGCTTTGGTTCTAGAGCTGCTCGGGACATATGTTACCAAGTGTTTGTCGTATTCCAGCGCAGATTGATCTGAAATAATGTACTGCATATTCTAGGACTCAAACCTTCCTAAACGGAAAACTAAGTTTTCTTCCGAATGAAACATCGTGGATCCCGCTAATCCAGCTTAAAGCTTAGCGCATGCTGACCCATATTAGTGTGCGAAGATAACCCGATTATTGCAAAAGACCTGGCATATAATCTTTAATTTTGAGCAACATTAATATTTGAACCTGCGTTTATTAGACCGAGATACTCCACATTTAAATTTAAATAAAGCACAGAGGAGCCTGAGACGTTCTTTGTAAGAAGTGTTTGTGAAGTTCACGCATGATTCTGAGTTGTGGGTAGTATGCGTGCAAGTACAATGTAGAAATGCTCCATTCAGTGACTGACTTTAGTCATCGAAATTTTTATTTTAATAAATCCACGACTTCGTGTCTTTGCAGTAGTAATATTCTTTATTAACAATGGGAAACCTGTCCACAATGGCTCCTTTCTACCACTAGAGAATAAAACAGACCACTGAATGTAAGGCATCCACATGCAAATTTCTTACAGCGACCCATTTACCGGAAATTCACTGACGAAGACAATAGATTTTTCGCCTTGACGCCAAATATCTGGTGCCGGTATAGTGTCAGTAGACAAAGCGCTCTTAATCGCTCGCGGTCAGACGATTAGGTGCTCAAATACTAGCCAGAAGTTTTGCGTGCTCGAAAATCTGAGTTTCACGGCATTCGCAATGCTGGTGAAACCGACAAAGATGAAACAGCCGTACAGTAACTCCCGACTTGCAGACTTGAGTAGCCTCACTGACAGGACAAAAGTTTGGTCACTTTAATATCAGCAAGGAATAGGTCAAACGGTCTGTGATGAAAACGGGTGTCAATTTCATTCATTCACATATTTATTTATTGGTTTGGTAAAGTGTGATTGTATTCACATTAGAAAAGGACTGTGTAGTGAACCTTGTGTTAGGAAATGCATTGACTACCATCTTGCTTAGATTTAACTTCCCCTATTGCTGTGTTTACCGCGCCAAATCCCCTTTACTTGGTCGCACATGACATGCTAATCGTTGATGATGAAAATCCGAGTAGTGAGGATAATAATTGGCTAATTTCATTCAAACACTGGAAACGTAAAATTTTGTTCAAACAAATATGTTGCCAGTTGGTAAGATCAAAAGAAAAAACTTTCTTAGACATATGAGTGTAGCCAGCACAGATGGCTTAGAGTGTAGTTTTTCACGCTATAAATGGATTTTTCATAGGAGGTATAACCCATGAAATAAGACTAATTCCTATTTGTCGTCTGATAATTCTCTTGGTATTTAGATCGATTCGTGGCACGGTCGGTCCATTAGGTTCATAACGACTGCATTCCAGCAGTATCAACGACATCTGGTCAAAAATGACTTGTTTTTTATTCCGAACACCAAAATTGTTCCCTAGACCTCTTCCTTGTGCATCCGACTCCAGTTGAGGTGATCCTGAACAAGGTAAAAATGACCGCCCACAAGGAAACCGTCCATCGTCCCCGCGAAATCCACAGATTTCGGGAGAATATTTTGGAAGTGTTTTAAATTCTGCAGGAGTTTAGCCTAAAACATTTGACTATTTCCCCTAAAAAGTCGGTAGATAAAATTTGGCAGATTGATAAATTTTATGTTGACGCAGAGCCTCCAAAACATTCGGGAAGATTTAACTTGCTAACTCCAAGCTCACAATTTGTAGCGTTCACTTTGATTCTCGATTTTGACACTGGGTAAGTTTTATCAGACAGATTTAAAAGTTTCGGACTCATCCGTATTTATGATTGATAAAAACTCACCTTTTTAGAATCAGCCAAGGTGTAATAGCGAGAGGTCTACCCCAGTCAGACCTCTTGTAAATGTACCAGGTAAAATATCAATGGGCTGTTTGTCAGTGTTGTATGAGTGAACCCCCGAAAGTTCGTATCTGAAACCTCGTTGGAGCATTTTCTTTACCGTCCCTTACCATATAAACTTATTACCCCTGATCTATCAATAATAGTCGGTCTAGTTAGGAATCAGGTTGCCAGATGGAATGCGGCAACAGAAGCTTTTTACTCAATCAAGGCTCACAAGAATACAACACGTTATTATTAATAGTGGAGAATTGCAAGTTTATCCTGTGAAATCATAAGTTTTGCACTTATCCTTTTTGGGGTAAACGGGAATCCCGAGACAAAATAAACTGATCGTCAAATTAGTTGGATTGGCAAACGCGTCGCTCCCTGGGGTTTTATGATGTCATTTTTGGCTTTAGTTTGTTTATGGAACCAGTTATTATTAGTGAGGTTTTCTAGTACACTGTCAAGCTGCCAGTAGTCAACAAGCACGAAGACGGTACAGTAAGCTCATAGTTACAATCCTCAATCCACGTAATTAGCTAGTTACTTCGGAAGAGTGTGCTGAGATGTATCTTGCTGGACATTTTGACTCAAGGCGTCTTTAGTTATACTAACAACATGAATACAAAATTACAACACTAGCTGGTTTGTATTGTCAAACAGGATGAGGAACGCCTCTTGTTGGTTCCCATGTTGGAAGTCGGACCAAGTCAAGAAGAAACCACAAGAAGGACCGGTTCTGTTTTGCAACTCTGGTCACTAGATAAATCTGGGCAAATCAAACCAAAATGGTGTCCAGTTAATCTCGCGCTGGGGCTCCCCAAAAACGCTATCAAAATCGCTGGTACAGTCAACTGTGACAGTATGTCGAGCGCAAAATCCAGAGCTAGCACGGTAGAAGATATTGTGACTGGGTTTCGCGTGGTTTTATTGGAACAAGATGATGAGGACAAGTTTCAGTTATGGCGTTTCTCAACAGATGGTTATGTACATAACCAGGTAAGTGAAACTTAGGAAAACTAGTATTTTTAGAGCAGCAACAATATTAGATGGTGACGTCTATGCGCACGAACTTCATCATTTTCGAATGAAAGTAAGGTTGATTTTGAAAACTACGTAGAGTAAAATGTGTTTAGCGAAGTTAGAATTTATAAAGCCTTATTTTTTCAGGATGCAAATGAAATAACGTAAAAATGAGATTTCTCTGAAGACCGCTGCGACTCAAGTGATTTGTCCTTTTTTCTTGAGTTGTAAACATCATAGCTGTTGATAAATGATACACAACCCAGTTCATATCCAGCAAAACCAAACGGTCAGCGAAGTAAACAATGTCGGTTTATGTAAAGTGCGTTTTGTCCGTGTTAACCTTACACGTCACTCAGTAATTTATCCACAAACACCGCCCTTTGAGTAGGGATCACTTGTGGCATGTAATTTGTTTATATTTTTCTAGTTTTTTTTTCAGACTGTCCCTTCTTACTCCGACATTATCGCCTTTCAAATTTTTCATCGCTCTTGATGCAGTTAGTCAGAGAGAAGTCATCTGCGGTTAATTACCCTCTTTGAACCAGAAGCCTGATTCCCAAATTATCCGGGTCGTCCAGCTGCCCGTGGTGCTACTCACCCTACGGTCAGATTTTTCCGCAATGATTAGCTCATCGGGAGATGAATCTGCGTTTTTACCTATTCAAAAACATCAAATAAATTCGTTTCCCTCTCGTATGCTCTCAACAAATTTGTTGAAATTTCTTGATCACAACTTGTCCTATCGTGTATTCCTCTGTAAATTTTAGTTAAGATGATTCAATGAGTACAAAAGTTTAAGTTAAAGTAAACCTCAAAATTCATTTATATATAGGGAGCTCATGGGAGATTTCAATGGTCTCTTTGGGTCACCTGGTATGATATCCATAGCAATATGTGCGTGATGTCTTTTTTGAGCGTTTCTATTCCTTCACCCAGAAAAATTCGTTTGTAATAAACAGTAGGCGAGGTAAATGATCAAGCGCAGATCTATGGACAACACGCTCAATTCAAGGGGCAGATCGGTCAGCTTGTTTTGAATCCCAATATTTCGGTATCCTAACTACATTTTCATCAACCATAATTGTAGATATAAGACCACCTCATGACAATCGTCTCGACCGCCGAAGGAAGAGGAAGAATAGAGATTCAACTTACCTTTCGTTGGTTCAGAAACCAATTTCAGAATTAAGTTAACACTGTCAGTTAGTCCAAAACAGTGCGGAGTCATAATCGGAATGAAGCTGAAATTCGAGTTACTGAACGAATGCCAATTTCCTTACATCTTATTTAGAGATTCAAAGAGCTACACGACTAGTTTGTATATTGTGGCGCAACAACAATCATTTTATCTACTGTTGTTCAGGGATTTCCAAGGAGGGGCTACCGAAGCCACACACACATCACATCACATCATATTTTGAGACAAGGCTAGACGATAAAGTTTTTCTGTTAATTTCAAATAGGAATCATCAAGCGCTCAGATTTTTGACACATAAACTTAATCACAAAATCTTCGCAACCAAGTGCTACCAGGTAAACACCTCAACTGGGTAAGTGACGTTCACCAACAAGCTAACATATAGTCTATCAATCAAGATTAACAGGCTGTTGCCATCCATAATGATCTGTGCAATTTGTAAAAAGCATTTACCACGTGTTTCATGCAAATTTGTCCACTTATTTCCTTCCAGGGTGACGAATCATTAGTCTTGACTTGTTTGTACAAATGTGAACAGAAGTCAAGTGAGGGGAACATCGGAGCTTTCTGTTTCATTGCCGCATGCCACATTCTGGATCGATCACAGGATAGCTGTCAGCGTTGGGGAATTAAACAAAAACGGTGGAGTACGTTTGGTCAGTGGCGCTTCTCGAAAGTGGCTAATCCGGAGTGGCACAAGCTTGCGCTAACTTGGCCTGTAGATCGTGAAGGGGAAGTAAATGAAGCGCTCATCTGGCCAGTTGAAGGCTATCTAACGCCGTTTGCGCCTCCTCTGGATCAAAGAAGTTCATATGCTGGCGGAAGTTCGTGTGAGCTTTTGTAAACAGTGTGGTGCGCCATATTTTTCTCTCTAGCCCATTCGCTGCACTCAGAAGATTGTGTTTTTACCAGTAATTGGAAGCTTCAGACAGTGTGGGACTTTACCGGGAACTGTCACATTTTACCTTCCTCTGACATGTTTTGCTTGTACAAAACGAAATAGGAAACCTAAATTTTCTCCCGATTGGCTGTAATCTGTAAAAAAACATGGACAATATTGGGAACTCCAGGGACTGGGGCTATGACGATAAACTGAAAACACCATAATTATATATTATGACGAACTTGCAGCCTCTGACGTAAATTTGTTAGTAGTCAATGGTGGACAGGTCGAGTGATGGTTAGCAATCCGCATCTCACAAGTAGCTGGAGCAGAACCCAGAGTATTCTAGCGATTAAGGGTGAGTTAACATTGTCATTCATTTTCTTTTCATTATGCGGCACCTGATTGAGGTTGTTTGCAATTTCTCCCCAACTGGCACGCACGAAATCGTTCAATGAAACGAATGAGCGAGACATCAATTTCTGACCATAAAATGATTGCTGATGTTCGAATCAGAGCCAAGGATGTCTCACTTACGAGTAGCTAAACCCCGCTGGATTTGCTACCGATTTCTTTGAATGCACGGGAGTGAGAAATCACTTCCGTTCCGTTTTGCTTCATAGTTCAGTTTATTTACAAGCACGGACATTCCTCCGTTACAGCCTCCTAGCTGACAATGACTGGCGTTCACCAGTCTGAACCATGATTTATCATGTGTACCGAAACACCACATCAGGTGCAGTCATCTAACACCAAACACAAGAGTGGATCAAAAATTTACAAACAACTAAATTTTTTCTGGTCTGGGGCGGCAATGTCTTCAAAATGACTTCTTGTACTGGAATGTGACTTGGTTTCTCCCAAGGAAAATCGATTAATATTCTGTGTAATAAGTATTGATTTCCGGGAGGTTGGTGCAAATTAGTGTTCGCTCAACTGTTTACCCTAACGCATCCCATGTATGAAAAGTACGCACATTTCATTATTCTTTCATGTTTCTGAGGGTGTCTGATGTAGTAAACATGGTTTCGCCAAGTATCTAATAAAGTAATCCAGAAATTTACGTTCACATATCAAGACAATTTCATCAGGCCTTGTTTTCACACTGCATAGAACCCTCATTTCATTTAAGAACTTGAGTCTGTTCAACACTTCCTGTTTGAAGGTAACCCAAAGAGGCTTCGTGTACTGCGGAATGGAGATGCTATCGTGACCAACGCTGTATATGTCACTGGACCAAAGGTCGTAAGTGTAAGTTGAACGAAAGAGCCAGATTTTCCGTGTAGTTTGGCCCGGTTAAACTCGCATTATTTTGGTTGGCCTGTTCATTTTTATTGGAACAACCCACAGAATCCTGGAGCTAGAAACGCCATAACAACGCCATTTATTTTCGGGTGAAAACGTCCTATTTTACTGCCCCTTGTTGTGTAAAGATCTCATGCTCAGAGCTAAGTTGCAATGGTCAAATTTGCATTCCTTACAAGCAAAAGTCTTGATGTCCTTTAGGCATTCATTTTGTGCTGTGTGCAACGTGCACCGCACTTTGGGACAGCAAGCCGTAAAACGCATAAACGTGCCTGACTGCGTCAGTTAATTTTTTAAAATGAGTTCCTCGTGCTTTCTTGGCTTCAACTGGTTTTCTGGCCGTAAAAGCTTAGGTGTTAGAATAGTATATAGTTCTCTACAGTCCCTCACTTAAGTTTTATGATTTAAATGAAAAGCATATGTACGGACCGAATTTCCGCGTTTACTTACCTGCTAGAATGAGGGCAGTTTTTTTGCTTAAAACGATATTGTGAGAAGTTGGTCGGGATCCTAGAGTGTAGAAGACATGGCCAAAGGAACAGTACCTTTTATTTTTTCTGGCGATATTAGGTTATGTAACGGATAACTCACTAGTTTGAAGCGTCTGATCATACGAGAACGCCGATTCATCGATTGACGAGTGTACTTACATCCTCAACAGCTTCTTTAGAGTTAAATGAACCATGAGGTGAACAGCGTGACTCAGTTAAATGATGTAAGGGATATTAAGAGAAAACTTTATTGTCAGTTTTACATGCGTTACCGGATCGAGCTCTCCTGCATTTGCCTAAAGACCTTGTTCAATGTGGCCGCAACTAAATATCATGGGATTTGTGGCACTGGTGACTTTATGAAATGTCACTGATTCGGAGGCAGCAGGTTTGTTCTTTTTCTCTATTTTCATTGTGGGCTTTTACATTTTTCAAAAACCGATTATTTCTGGAGCGTCCTACCAGGTTCAACATTTAAACTACAGAAAAAATGAGATAAACCGAATAAATTGAATCAGTTGAGCGGGGACACGGACGATGATTGTCTGCGCAATTCAAGTCGCATCCAACTGAACGTTATGAGAGAGGGTTGTTGAGTGACGAGTCATGGCCAAGGCAAGCTCAGTGATCATACAAAACGCTTTTGTCAGCACACTACCGGGTTTCGCAAACGTATCACGACTGCCTCATCTATCGTCAAGCTACTCCTTCTATTTCGATACTGACAGTCTATTCGGTACTCGATAGATAACGTGAGAGGACTCGTTCAGAATTAAGAAAAGCAGGTGGAAGAAAGCAGCACAAGTCTCCCGGACCCATGCCTGCCTACCCATTTGAACAGTGGCGAAAAACTCAATTCAAAAACGCAGTGGAACACAGAATGAAGTTCAGATTTGTGATTCCAAACTTGGGTTTATGTACTCTGATGCTTTGGGTTTTACTTTATTGTCTGGTCTAACGCGTAAAGATCGTCACACCTGAGTCTATCAATTCATGTTAGCATTCGTATTTTATATCTCCGCCAAAAACATTGTGAGGAACAGGCTTTAGCTCAAGATCTCGGGATTAAAAAGTGAAAACTCTAGATGTAAAACGTTAGTTCGTCACTCAAAGTTTGTAGCAAGGTTTATGTTTGTTCAAACTGCGGTATGGTTATCGTGTAGGTTTTAGGGATAGCGACGCAGACACTTGGTTTGGTCAGTTAAATGAAAGTAGGACCCTTGAACTATTTTCAGTCTGCACCGCACCAACCTGCTTAACGTTATTTTTCATCCTCAAGGTTCGGAAAGGTAAAGTCCAGAGCCATCATGAGAGGGTGGGAGGAGAAGGAAAGACCAAGGGTAACCTAAAGTCTTCCAGAGTCGGATCGGGAGAAATCAACCAAAACGAAAGAAGGCCACCTGTTGCTAGTGTGGAATTCACAACAGTAAGTTTTCAGTTTATTTGCTTATGTAACCACAGTGCAACTAAGCTAATACTTAGTGCGCTGCCTCAACGACAGCAGCAGCATCAACTCAAAACCTAAAAGATGATGCCAACTGGCCTTCATCTACATGCGGAAGCAGTTGCTCAGGTGGTACGCTTGCCAAGATAGTGATGCCAATCACATGTTAAACTGGAGTGGCCTTCGCTAGGAGTAAGATAGAAAGTAGTGACCCTGCTGTCTGGCTGAACAGTTAGGCCTTGAATGCCAAGATTAAACATCACCATAAATTCTCAATTTATGATAATATATTCGGCAAAGCCCGCCTATTCACTGAATTACATATTTTTGACATCCCTGTATACATAAAGTGCGACGTTTGGAGCGTGTAAGCAGTCCAAAACACCGGTTTGGTTATCCACTCCTTACCTTGTCCGTAGTCGCCAAAATCCTGATGATGACAACTCGGGATAACCGATCGGTCTATTGACTCATTAGCCCGACTGGCTTTTTAGACGCTTGAAACCTCTTACCTGATTTCGTTAAATCGTCACTTCTTCCGTGGACTAATTCTGATCTACCAACTATGGGAATGACTGAACCACAACCGGGAAAGTTAAAAACGGTCATCCTCACAGATTTATTCTCAGATAAAGGAGCACAGAAAGAACACTTGAACCTCTAAACCAGTCCTATGAAAGCTGTGAGACGATGTTACACATGGACTGCTCAGTATAACACATGACTTTGGCACTTAAAGCTAGTACAGGTGCTGTCTGTAGTTTAACAGTGACTGATAAGTGTCGGATAAGCTTCGAATATCACAACCGTTCGTTCTGCGTATATATTACTTAAAACGGGGCACATAACAACCGAAAGAGTATCGCAAATTCTATTTCAATTCAAATACTTTCTCTTTGCAAAACTTTATGTGCAGAACTATTCTGTGTCCCCTTATCAAGAATGTGATATGCCTGCGGTGTAGCCGTATTATAACTCAGTCTTACGTCAATTCATCTATAACTAATGTGATATGGAATAACGTGCATATTAGAGCAAATTCATAAAAAATCAAGCGCAAAGTTGGACATACAGTGCGAAATTTAAGAGTTACTTCCTAATAACTTCCTAATAACTATTGGAGATTTATGTAGTGCATAACGATTTTAGATACTGGATTAACTTTATCGGGGAGCATATACCGTCGGCTACTGCATCAAGCCTGGTCCCCAAAGCCTGTAATTGCCTACTCGTTCTTGAACGATGGGGCATAGTTTTCACAAGTTCCTGGTCTTTAACCTTCTTAGTCTCGAGAGTTGCCCAACCCGTAAAAAAATCTGGTGAATATAACGATGGAAAGAGTAATAGTACCAACACAAGAGTAGTCCGACATATAATAGAAAGGATAATATTTCCGGCAGTTAACCCTGGTTGCAAAGAATGAAGAATTTCAACCAACCCGTATTTTTTCTACTAGTGATGTAGACGAAGTCTTCAGGGAAAGCTCATTTCAGATATTTTTTAGTTGCTTCAAGGCCTACGCTCTCCCAAACCAGGCTTTCCGTATGATTTCTAAGCACGGGAAAAACAGAGTGCACAGTCAAAACCAGAAACTGCACCCAAGACTTCGTTCTGAGACATAGTCCTCGAAGATACCGTTTATGGTAGCGACCCATGATATCCTATCTAGGCAAGTTTTTGCAGTCTAAGTTTTACACAACTTTTAACATTAGGACACGAGAAATCCCTTGTTTGTCATAAATGATGTGAGCACCCCTTGCTTTATAGCAACGATTACTTGTAGTAGCGTCTTTACTAAGTTTTGTCAAGTTATTGCTGACTTCTGGAATCTCATTATGATCGGTTCTTGCCGGAAAACCGGTTTGTCTGATCACTGGCAAATAGTCAGATCATCCTCTACAGAATGGATAGCAATTATCTCCGTGAACCTAAGAATTACTAAGCTTTGAGCCTGGAATTTATTCAGTAATGTGTGTAAACCTCGAGGGTTCCTGTCTTGGTTAAGGGGCACCAAAAGCGGGAGATCAAACTCCTATGAAGTGACAACAGATGCTTCTAATTCTAGCAACTGGAGTCCACTTATATATCTGCAATAAACCAAAAGTGACTACGGCGATGTTTATTCTACATTTAGAGGATTTGTTTGAAAAGTTCAGAGTAATGAACGTTGTTTCATAAAAGCTATACGCTATGACAGTATACAGCGTCTAATATTCTGAGACTTCGCTCGAAACGGACCTTACTGGAGGTGACATAAAATGGATTCAGTTGTAGTGGTTATTACTGAAAAGTTCAGATAAACAGCGATACTGAGCAGGTTCTTTCCTTTTTTGCCATAAATAGACCAAGTGTAAATATAAAAAAATAACGCCGTAATCAGTTTTCTGACAAATTTACTTATTTTTCCGCACTTATTGTGGCGCTCCTTTGGTTGTGTCTTATCTATTGGGAGTTAATCATGCTGCAACTCAGCGGTAGATGACTAAGCGGTTAAATGCTCAATCAGTGACCGGAAGGTTGTGCGTCTCAAACCCCGTACTGAAGTTTCGTGAGATGCTTAATGATGATGATTCTCAGTGCATAATAAGAACCTGTACGGTGATTTCAATAGAGACTGGTTTAATTGGCAGGATTAGATCTCCATTGAGAAGTATCAGATTTACTCAGACCACCAAAACATTTTGCTTGATTATTCGGGATTATGAAACTGAGATTAGGCATTCGTCCTTCCACTAGGAGTTTTTAAATCTTCTATACTGAGAACATGCATGCAACTCTATTCACTATAACCCCATTTGGTTAAACCACCATATCAGTGAAACTTCAAGCTGCACACAAGCTGCATACTTCAAGTTGTATACATCAAAGAATTCCGTTATAAAACACCAACATACTGCTGTTGGTAGCATTCCGCTGTTCTAATTGATGGTTTCAATGTGAAACTGGATGTTTGTTCCTATGCAATCAGGTGTACAACTTTCAAGCTTACTGTCCCTAATCACATTCTGTGGACTTTGGTGATTGTTGATGTCATAGCAACCACCATCCCTTCGCTGGTGAGCGAGTGATTGATCGGAAATGTCTGCTACTACATAACTAATACGAACGATCACTTACTTCCGGAATATGCATTTCATTCACTTCGAAAAGCAAACAAAGTGAGACGAGAAACTTATTACTTGCACGACAATAGAGAAACAGGTGTTGAGCACTAGCATTCTTCGGACTTGCTGTTCAAACTCAGAGGCAGAGGAAAAATCTTCCTCGGCATAAAACTAATAATTCCGTGAATAAAAGATCACATTTAAAGGCGTTCACTTCAAGTAAGGTAGCTGCATGTAGTTGGGTAATTATGCAAAATTTAAGTGAATTGTGATCAGTCGAGAGAACCAAAGTACTCTCATCGTAATTCGAAAATATTTCTAAGTGCACAGTATTCAGTGCTAATCAATCCATTTCTCCATTCCCCTAAGATGCTACCATTTGCTTTTGACAGACATTCCAACTGATTTCACTTAGTTTGGTCGCTTTCACTTTATTATACCAATGAGGCCTGGATCAATTGAACTATTTCAAGGTTTACCGGTATGTCCTATCGAGATTTCGCATAATTCCAGGGCTGCGTAACAGCCTGATTTTGTTTGTGTTCGGATATATTCGACTTGGTTGGCAAGTCCTCAGTTTAAATTTAACGGGATCCTTAATAAAACTTCTAGTATATTTTCAACGGTAGTTTGTATTCCTCGTCAACAAGGAAGTATTATAGTGCTCAGAATGGAAATCAAATTTTGTTGCATATCATTTCAACGACCTGTTAACCCATGTGCTTCCCAACTTCAACTGTGAAAATAATATAATAATAATAACAACATAATATATATAATAGAACGATGCACTTTGTTTGGCCACTTCAGGGATCACTTTAAGAAAGCAGACTGTGAATACCACCTCTGTCCTGTGTGAGGAGTACCGCATTTTTTCGGTTGAATATTGGTTAGATAATTGGCTTACCTGAACAGCAAACTAACCAACCAAACCAGGCAAACAAACTAATGTATTTCATGCCAGCAAAAACTTCAACAGTGTAACTTGCTTTAACCGTATGATTGAAGAATAACATTTTATTGCTTACATCTGTCTTCACAACCCACAGTCGACTGGCTACTCCGTTTAGGTCTAAGGAAAAATCATCTTTCAAAAACCCTCAGAATTAACCAGTTTTCAAATTGTCCAGCACGTTTTGGAGTAAGGTCATCACTAAAGATTTCGGAAACGGGCAGGATTCAAAACCATTTTAACCAGAGAGTGAAGTGGGTTACAAGTATACACTTTACCAGTTTAATACATAATGACCTTCATTTTATTCCAGAAGCCACAAAGTAGAAGCACATGCATCACTGATATTGTCGGCGACCACCTCAGTACTTGAAGCAACTCAACGAGAACACCAAACCATCGCATATGAAATCACTCTCTAGTTGTTCGTCAAAACTAGTTTCTCTGGGCTGCTGTTGGACAAAATAGATGGTGCATTGGAGTACCCCCATTTGTCTTCCTTTTCGTTGTAGTTCCTGGACAGTTGCACAACAGCCCTTCGTTTGGTTTCCGCAGCCCGGCGATTGTTTGATCAAGAAGGGAATGAACACTTTACTCTTGAGAACTTACCACGGGACACACTAGTGCACGTCTCCTGTGGTGAGCCATTTATCAATATCTGGCAAACGCAACAAGAGGCCAAATTACGCAACTTTTTCTCTTCTGTACACACTATTGTAAAACGAGCAGAAATGTATGTAGAACATCTGAAGGAAATGGAGAGAGGTGAGTTTTCCATCGTTAATCCAAACGAGTGAATTAATTGGTAAATACTCGGCTGTCATTTTTGGAGTAACATGTGTGAGATGCGGCATCCTGCCGTAGATACGGTAGTTTAAAGGTGGGTTGCTCACCCTTAAATGAAGAGCGGGTTTTACTTACAAGTCATGCATAACTTGAAAATCTCAGCTCTAAATTATTGATGGTATTTCTAACCAAGACTGGAAAGACAATCTGTCTTCCCGAATTTGTGAGTGACAGGTGTCAACTAAGTTCGTAAAATGTTTGACGCCTCAAACTACAGCTACGAAGAGAGCACATATAAACTTTGGATCTCAAGTCGAATTGCATAATTCTGGCTTCTTGCTCTTTAATACTCTTATTCAGGAGGTAATAAGGTATCTCGTCACCCTTCGGGATACATTCTTTGTACTGCCAATATTGCATCGTAGTTTGTATGAGCAGGTGCAGACCTTTGGACCAGTCAGCTTTGACTGTCCCTGGCAGTGCAAATTTCCTGTACTGGAATGCTAACATCTGAGAGTCAGTCTTCTGTCTATGAATTGCATCTATTACTTCAAGTGGCTACTTTTCAAAGTCCTTTAGGCAAGCTCAGTGAAAACATTTTCTTAAGAAACCAGGAATATCTCATTTAAAGGCCAGTTACCATAGAAAAAACTTACTGGTAGAATTGGTTACTGTCAATTGCAGACGATCCATGGCCATCAGCTGGCGACATCTCAGAATGAAGACCATTACTTCCTAAATATATTCTTGACTTTCTTACGTCATTATTCCGCTGTTACGCAATCAGAACCTGGAACTGCAAAATATCATTGAAGCAATACTCATCAGGGAAGAGCACTTAAAACCTGGCGCAAAAATGAACGTTTTGCTTCCAAAACTCTACACTGAAGCCACTGTCTAATCGCATTGTCCCAAAAAGAGAGGTATTTGGATATAATTTTAGTGCTTGTATTTTCAGCACAAAACTAGCTTCAAATCTATACATCTTGCAGTCTTTTTCCTGTAACTCCTCTGACAAAATGGAGTGAACTGCGTGAGTGTTTAAAGTTCTTTTTCCTCGCACGCTACCCCACTGCGCGACTAACTTTGCCCAGCAATCGCTCTAGTTCATGTTTCTACTTTAGCATGTTGTTGGAAGAGAGCTTACAGACAGGATTCGGTGCAACTTACTGAATGAACTTCTCGGTTGCACTGTTGAGCATGATGACGAGTTTCGTCCAGTATATTCAAATATCAGTCCAGAATGGCTTCTACATAATTTACTGATCATTCTTTAAAGGGGATTTTTGGCTATAATCAAGGGCTGAGAAACGCACACAGCAATGATGGTTTCTGGTTCCTTCCCAGCACTTTATGAAAATGGCTCGTGCTTTGACGAATCACTGGCCATTTTAAGAAGTTCCAAACGCAGTGTTTCGAAGAACAGGAATTAACATAGGGGCTGCCATACAAAAATACATTTTCATTAGAACTCTATCACTATCTGATTTAGAGCTCGCTTAAAAGCGTGAAGATATGAACGACACTGTTTTGACTTAGTATCTTTTTTTCCACGCGGAGCCTCAATCCCAGTACATACGATATGTTCCAAGGGATCTCCTTGGCCTAAACAATGTACACCTGTCATTTAGTTGAAGGATAGTATCACAAGACAAGGGGTCCTGAAAGTTAACATGCTGTTTTTATCTCTCGAAATTTTGTCTATCCATCAACGCCGGTTGTACATCTGCTACCGGAAAACCTTAAGGCAATTTAACGACCTGCCTTAAAGTTAACCCCCAGACTTGGTCAGCCTGTTTGTTTAATAACTAATGAAACACCATAAAAGCATCACAAACGAGAGATTCAGCGGGGTTCCAGGTGAGTCTCCCGCAAAACCAAATTGTTTTGCGAATGAGTGTATTTCGCTAACAAAACATCATTTACAGAGCCAGAAGATCCTATCAGCAAACTGTCCTTTACTAAATTAAACAGGTTGCGCAATATACGATCAAGTTCTGCCGAACTACGAAAATGTCAAACGACCTTCCTGTTAGATTTCCAAGGATAAAAAGCTTAACACAAGCACTTGTGAAAGGTAAAAGTATAAGAAACTGCTTGAGGTTGGTTGAAAAAGTTCACCTTTGGGGTTTTGAAACGGAAGAAGTTTCTTCATCCGTATTAGTAAATTTGGACTGATGATTAAGCGACGTCCGTTAGGAATCCTCCCCAACAAATTACAGCACTGAATAATTATGGTGCACGTCAAAGACAACTGTGATAATGAGGGCAAACGCGTGGTGTTTGTACATTATCATAACATATCATACACTATCATAATTGTCACACATAACTCTAGTTCCCATCCACTTTATAACTAACCCATTTGTTCCATCAAGTAATTATTTTCCTCTGATTAGCTCTAATAATTAAAGCATCAACGGCATTTTTCTTATAGCGACACCGGCTGTGTGATTACAGGTGAGGTCATCTAGAACTGTAGAAACCTTTCCGGTTTTTCTAGCTGGGGGTTACTACAGCTATGCAAAGGCTTGGGACATTACAATAAATTTACAGAAGATTGGCAGAAATGTGCAAATTATGTGGTTTTCAAAAATGCATTAGTGATGAAAGTTTATGACTCGCCAACTGGCGGGACATGAGATCGCAAAAGTAGTTTGAGGATGAATGTCCATGATGCGGTAGTCAGTGCAGAATCTGGATAGCAGATTCATGAACCAAAATGATCAAACTCAGATAAATACCTGTTCAACTTTACAACAACTAACTCCAAAGAGATGATAGCCAGGTTCCATGAATGTTCTAGACCGCATTTTGAGATGGGATCAACCAGGATGATAGCCCTGCCTGTTTCCAACGCCAGACAGAGTAGGTGGAACGTAAGCATAGACGTTCAGTTTGAAGGATTCCCTTCACTACCGCAAACGTAGCAGCAAACACAAACTAAGTGATAACTTGTCATTAGACACGGAAGTAGACATTTTATCCACACAAAATTTCTGAAAAGGGGAACACTCTCAAGTGTCCTCTTGAACGTTCCTGGACGTTTATTTACCAGTAAACATTAGTAAACAAACACTGCAAAGCGGATCCATAATTTAAGTGCTAACCTTCACATCATTTCACGTGCGACAGTTGAGCTTGAACTCAAGACCATAGACTACCCGCATGCTTCATCAGTGGTGTATATTATTACAGAGGTAGTGCACATTATCCTAATATGTGAGGACGAACCATCAAACTGGAAACTAACCGATGATCCGCACATCCAGACACAACATTATATTGCATTACAGTGTTACAAGGTACTTTTTATTCAAACCCCAGACGGACATTCACAGTTACTGTTAGTTTACCTCCGTAGTATTGCAGACTCAATGTGCAGCCAGGATTTCTCAGCACTGTATCGATGTCGGTCGTCAGTGTGCTTCAGCTTTGTTTTGTAGGTTATGCCTAAACCCTTTTTTCGAATGCCCGACTTGTTATTTTCAGAGTGGGTTCTGACACTTAGCCCTCGCTTGATTGAAGGCGCTGTAATCGTCCTTCAAAAACTTGCGCCAGTAGCAGTTCACAGAGCTGATGAAAACACAGAGCTACGTAAAGGGAAACAAATGTGAGTTTTACCCACGGAGTTTTATATTGTTCCACCTCTCCATGTTTACATGCAGGGGCGCACGAAATACCTATGCACATGGTAAGTGTAGAGTAAAATTCTGGTAAAAACTTTTACCTTTGTCAGCATTGTCTGGGCATTGATCTGCCTATATAAGGGTGCACATTGGTCAACCAACAAGACCACCATCAACATGCCTCTCAACTCGTTCCTAAAATTCTTTAGAGCGGACAATGCTGTGAAGTTACTAGTTTTGCTTTAACTCAAACACCGTGTAGAATGCGTCGACTGAACCGGTATTAGTATTCAGACATACTCACATCTGTCAAGAGTACTCAAAACCGGGTAGTTAAAAGTGATACTTCTGAGGATCTGATACTTTTGAAAGTATAACCATTTGCTTCATCAAACGATAGACTAGTACGTAGTGAGGTTAGACGCCAAATGTTAAATTGTTATTTCCCCTACAATTGTAGTGCTCTAATGTGATTAGTTTGTCCGTGGCTATCTAGGAGTTATTAGGCACAATAACGATAGACGTGACGGAAGGGACACATCTAGCCAAGCAAAGTAAAGCCCTGTGCATTGAAAAAGTGATTTACAATTAACAAATTAGGGTAGAGTTGGTGTGTGTCACAGTGTGACACAGTGTGACGTACACAATGTTGCATTTGGATTCCATCCGGGTTAAGCTGCCGGCTTATTTTGAAGGTACCATTATCGGGGCATTGCATAAAGTAGACAGGCGTAATACAACAAAAATTTATCGCAAATAGCAAAAGTGAGTTCCAAGTTCGAACAGCTGATTGAGGCTAAAACTATTCGGCATCCAACAAGGGTATTGGATAAACGTTTTCCTTAAGGTCACTGTACATTCCGCCCCTAGAGTTGGAAACGATATCCTTCATTTTACTCTGGATTTGTGGCTGGGTTTAATGACACCCAAAGTCACAACCTAAGTCTGGGTGCCTTTTAATGGCATGAATAGGACTAACAACTATTCAGTTAGAAGACGTAATGACTTGATTCATAGAGTCAGTCGGAAAACGCTTGAGAATTCGTGGTTATTTTCCCGAGCAATCCTTAACTCTCGAGTACTTTGGAAGTGTACGGCTTCTTAACAATCGGCTATAAGGCTTTGAAGCTTACGCGAATCTGGATGGATGTCCCTAATGTCCCCACAAAGTCTTATCAAGCTGGCTTCATCTTCATATGCCTAGCGGTGGGATTTTCACCCCTCGCCTGCAGTCAGCATCGTGAGGAACATTAAGTGCCTGATCACTCCATTTTCCAGATTTCAACTTCAGTGTTGTCTTTTCAGTTTAGTTTTGGTGTCAGATATTCATTTGCTTGACATTCGATGCAACATAGGCCTTTGATGCTAGATAACTGCTATGAATAATATGCTTGAATTTAGTGGAACCAGGTCTTCTGCAACTGCGTTCATGTCCAAATGAAGTAGCCTTGGAAGCACTCACGAGCCTGTCTGCTGGCAGGTCGAGAAACAGTTTCAGTATCTAAATGTACTGGTTTTTCAGGTAGTTAAAAGCGAATAAAGACTTCGACAGCCAAAATACCCGGGGCTTTTAAGTGATTTGGTGGCTCAGTAGAAATAACAAGGGGCTAACAGATTGATCGTAGCGCTGAGTAATCACTTTAAACCAGTTAACAACAAAACACGGTTTGGGTAGGTCAAAAACTGGACTGCCGAGTAGAGTAGACTTGGCTACTAATTGAAAACCCCAGGTTTGGCGAGAGCTCCAGAGTTCAGCTTTTTAATTCAAATACCAACCGGGTTTGTTTTTTGTCCTGTGGTGGAACTCTACTTGACTTCAAGTTACACCTCTACTTACCAGGATTTCTACAACGAATGTGAAAGCAGAATAGCACGATAAAAAAAAGGCGAAACGTGGAGATTTAATAGCTGGAAATGTTACATTGGCTTTTGAGCAAAGTTACTTCCTTGTGAAATGGCGTTGAATGAATTTCTTAATTGCACCGTTTGAGTTCCACTTAGTTGACAATGGTACCCATCAATTAAACCAACAGTATTACTTACGTGGACCATCTGTCAGAAGCATCCTCGAAATGGCTACACTTTCCAGCCTAATGTTCCTCCAACTTAAATTTAAAAATTTCTCCCTAAGAACATGCCTCATTTGGCACGCCAACAGATGAAATCTTACCAAACAGCTAATCGCTGGTAATATTTTCCAGGGGCAGGTAGCGTTTATACTCAGCATTAGCTCATCATTTCCACTGTGTGATGCAACACTCGATGGCCCAACCTATAAAAAACAACGGTATTTAGCTTTCTGGACCGTGTCAAACATGAGACTTTTTGGGTTGGACGCATATATTGGAAGAGGAATACGTCCAAAGGGCCACAAAATGCAAAAACTAATTTCGGAAAATCGGAGTGCTATAATGGCAAAAACGGCTGTCCCACATTTGTATTAGTACCAGCAGAACTTTTGAGGATCCTTCCTACGTGAGAATTTGATTTTACGGTTCCCGAAAAAACTGGTACTTGTGAAGATCTAGTACTCTCTATCGGGTGGAGCGATTCCAACAAGAATCTATTCGATGGGACCGGATAATTTGAAAACGGATGTGTTCCACGGACAGCACTTTTGAAAACATATATAGTCCCACATTTGTATTAGTACCAGCAGAACTTTTGAGGATCCTTCCTACGTGAGAATTTGATTTTACGGTTCCCGAAAAAACTGGTACTTGTGAAGATCTAGTACTCTCTATCGGGTGGAGCGATTCCAACAAGAATCTATTCGATGGGACCGGATAATTTGAAAACGGATGTGTTCCACGGACAGCACTTTTGATACAAACATATATATATATATATATATACCTTAATACATTGGCCCACTGCTGATGTTCGAACCAATAGAATGAAAACTGCAGACGTTGTTCAGACCATCCATGAGCGCTCGTTTTGCGTACAGGGGCTCACTGTGTCCCTCTTATCAAAAATCGCTTGTATCTTCAGCTGAGCTTTAGATGCTGCGTCAAATCCAATGAACACTTTAGTCCTTTTGCCATTAATTCTCTTATCCCGATTAGAATGAATTTCACCGTTTATCAATCATGCTTCATCCAGATAACGCAATTCTCAAAATGTTCTCTTCATGCAATGGTGTCTTCAAAAGTTTTAGAATTTTCCGGATTATCCAGGGAGAGTTGAGCACTTAACTATAGTTAAAAAGCCAAAGAAATAATGCTTAGTCAGAGCTTTCTTTAGCTCGGTGAGGAGAACAATCAGCCCTGGGGACAAAGCGGTGTGCATAACAGGTCAAGTCGTTAGTTCAAGTGCACACACAATGACCTGCTGTGCTTGTAGTCACAGGCTGAATCCCATTGCTCCAATTTTCGATTGTGCACAAAATCCAAGTTTATACGACTAAGTTTACAAACGCAAATGTTCTACAATTCAATCCACTTTTCTGATATTAAGCGTCGCTCGGAGTCTTTCAGTGGGTTTGAAGTCGTTGTGTTTTTTTTGAATGATTCAAACATCTAAATGACTGAAAAGCCTGGTCTTTTTAATCTGGTTATGACAGGCTTTCTCGTACTACGAACGTGGGTCCCGAAGTGGATCAGAAATCCGTAGAAAAAACAGAAGCTCCAGCAAGAAACGTCGCAACCACTTCTAAAACAAGGTGAACTGGCCATCCTCCATTTTGTGTTGTTTTAGTTCTAAATTGCCCCTTGTACTCTATGTAGACCATAAGGTAGCAACTTTTACCTAAATTTGTTCAGTCTTTCGAAGGTATGAAGCACTTGGAGTTACGTTATAGAGAATGGTTTACACTGGAGCTAAAAGGGAACTGACTCCTGCCTACTTCATTTCCGTGATCATGTCACAGCGAACTTGATAACCATGAGAGTTCACTAGGCTCTGTTCAAAGGCCGGTTGTCTTGGGCCTTGCCTTCAGGTTTTCGTAAACAACTCAACTAAACACAGTATCAATGTTAAGACCATTTTTAGTCCGCCGATCTGACCAGGTTTCAGTAACAGACTTTTAAATTATGTAGTTTGTCCATTTATGATGTAGGCACCGAATCTGGTGGTACCAATTTGGCTCACAAAACGTGTGATAGAAGCAGAAATATGGTTCACGCCCGTCTGGATGTCATATAAAAAGTTATTTAGATAAAAATTTTCAACATTAAATCTTGGATTCACATCAGCCAAGATTCCGTGGGTAGAAGAAGTTAAGAAAACTTGGAGGCAATTCTAGCCAGGCTAATAATATTGGGATTTTTGCAGGTGAATGTGCCAAATTACCGTTTGGTCTTTGAGATCTACTTGATAGGTAATGCGCCCACAAATCACTATATTCGGGAAACCATAGAGCAGCTAGCAATAACCAAGGAATGTTGACACCACTCTGCCTACCCTGTCGCCATGCCTTCTTTATTCTGAAAACAGCTCATTATCGTCAAACAGCCGTCTGCAGAGATTTGGACTACGCTACGGCGGGGTCTTATATCCGCTGGGGGAACCAAATCTAGCCCTAACAATGATGAAGGGTGCCGGTGATGATCCGGTTATTCAGCTCAAAAGATTACGCTACGGTGAAGAGACGCAACAATTTCGGATTACACAAGATGGGTGAGTCAGGTGGAGTAGCTTATAAACAAGAGACTAGCAAAATATAACCACTCACTTTATAAGGCATTCTGTATCTCTTTCCTGCAAAACTCACTTGCCCTTAAATTCAATGTAAATAGCGACTATCCAGGTTGCTAAATGTGAAAATCCTTGGCAAACTAAAAGCTACCATTAGATTGTCTACTAAAACCCCTCTTTGTGAGATCACCGTAAATGACGTCAACGCAATTTAGCTTACCTCCACAGAAAAAAATCGGGGAAGCAAAATGAGGGTAATATTTAGTGCGTCTGGGAAAGCTCTTTGTGTTTTGCCACCTTTCGCCTTCAGCTAAGATCAGTAGTTTCTTTCCAAAAGTTGTCGCTGTGACTCAGCTTTATCTAGTAAAGTGTATTACGAAAACTTCTGGCTCTCAAGTGTATTTTTACCCTCAATTTTGCAATTAATTAAAACAGAAAGCAAGTTCCGATTTGAGACAAGATAAAAAACACATCTGGATAGTCTGTCTTAATTACTACCGAGAGGGTGAATACTACCACCAATTAGTCCCGTTCAACTTCTGCAATGCTGATGTTTCATATCCGGTTTTTAAAAACTGGTCACTGATGATGCTAAGATGTGAATCGTACTAAAATATCTTGACGTTTTAGGACCTTAGCTAAATGATAAACTTAGTTGCGTTTGCTGTATGTGTCCATAGCATGACAGTAACTTTTGTTCCACAAACTATTCACTTCTCAGTAGACAGAACAGTCTGACGGCTGCTGCCCAGGAATCTCAGTTGACTTACCTTTAATGGATGCTAGCTGAAAGTGGAGGAGCTAAAATGTCGTGCCAACGTCGAACCCACTTGAGTTGATTTCTCAGGTACACACATGGATGCTTTACAGGAATGGAAGGATTTGAGCATGATGACAAATGTTCCGGGCAATTGAGATTTTGAATGACGATCCACTGCGCCTCCTCAAAGGAATTCGTTATTAGAATTCTCAGCGCGTATAAGGGTTGGTTTCGCTTCTTGCATTTTTAAGCTGGTGCACTGTAAAAATAATATCAGGCGTGCTGAGTCCGCTTTGAAACCCACAATAATTTTCGTGTTATTTTCTCCCAGAATATTCGCGTTCCGATGTTTGAGTAGAACGCATGTCACAGTTTCGCTTGCAGTCCAGGGAAGACTGATTCACCTATCGTTGTACATTCTCTACCCATTTTCGGTTCCTTTAGACAGCTGGACGACTGCGGCATCTTTGAACTTTTGTGGGACATTTTTATCTTCCCAGATCACATATTGATCGAAACGGTCTTCCATCATTAGCCATTTTAGTTTAGATATTATGGCACATATTTGAACTTCTTCGATCGTCTCTCCGTCAAGGTGGGTTAGAATGGTCCACTTTTACATGATTTGAGATAACCGTGCATGATAACCGAAATGTGAGTTGGGGGATTTTTTGGGTAATGTAAAAAATGTGCATCCAAACAGCTGGACTGCATATATGGTTATGCTTAATCAGCCGAGTCTTCAAAAGTTCTTACGGCTCTATTCGAATCACCACACATGCCCGAGAAATCTGAGTAATTGAAATGAATTAAGATAAGGAGCTGCTTCACTACGCATCAGTTTATGGTAAACTTTATGTTGGTTCTGTTTTATATTTGCAAACTGTCGATAATAGGGCCTATATTTAGAGAAGACTACATCTGACGTTACTCATATACAGGCGATTTCGAGAGTCTATGGCACACGCCACAACCTTGTCTGCTAACTGTTGGGCTGCAAATAGCATAGATAGTGCTCTTCATCTGATAGGACACAAAAAGTACATTCGATTTTGTTGCCTTTCTTGTTCAGTTCATTGTTTCCTCTCTGGAAAAGCCTAAATCTACAGTTAGGTGTTTTCCTAACTTACTTTGCCGCCTCTCACGACGGGCAACTCTTTCCACATAAGTTTCATTCTGACACCGGGACAGTTCAGGATGTACTTAGTTTGACGTGAAACCGACTACACAGGCATATGAAAAATAGATTATTGTTGTTTCTTAAATTTGATAGTGAAGCAGTTAGTCACACTAAGTAGGCCAATAGTTTATTAGAAAATGTTTCCCTTCAAGCAGAAAAGATAAAAATGATGAAAAGCGATGAAAATTTTCTGAATCCTAATACAGTAGGTTTAATTTGAAAACCTTGCTTTTCTCGCTGCACAGTTTTACTGTAATTCGCCTAGGTACTACCATCTATTCCCATTGATAGAGGTCTGAAGGATCAGAAAATGCCGATCTTCACAGGTGTTCAATAAAACTAAAAAATATTTGCCTCAAGCAAGCTCAGGATTTCTGTCGTTCTTTAGCAATCCGTTTGCATATTTCTCCTCATTTTTCTAGGTTTATTCGTTGTGGCAAATACGTCCTCTGTCTTGAATGTCCCGATAACGGTTGGTCTGAGGGTTTCACCAACTGCGGTTTTGCCATGGTGGACCCGGAGTATGCACGATTTGGAAGAGCTCTCCAAATGTTTCAATACGATCATCAAAGTGGCCTCATCTATGCATTTTCAACCAGCATGTTGGATCGTGGTGAGTGGCGATGAAAACTGTATAAGTGACTATCGATGTGATTACGAATAACCCACGGTCTTCAACGTTACTCACCAATATGTACACTGTTTGCGCATCTTCATCTTGCATATCCCCATGTTCAATTAGTTTAGATAGGTTTCACTTATCTGACGAAAAACATACTACTGAATGTTATGGTTCATTCATTAATTCACCCCGTACTCTATACACTTAAACCTATGATTTGCAACACAGCGCCTCCTTCAACCCAAAAATATATGAAGACGTTCAGCAAGTAGAGAAAATGAAACAGCATGCATTCTGGCTGTTCTTCGGTTTGCTTTGTTTTATATAAGTCCTGTGTCTGCGCCTTCTATGTCAGGTTTTAGAGCAAACAGAATACTAACGGAGATCTGTAATTTCAAGTGGATGTGGATGTCCTTTTTCTACTTGTTTTCAGCTGAGGCACTGACAACATTTGTGGCATGTAAATTCACTGGCTAGAGGCCAGATTCTTGCAATTTCACCCACAAATAAGGAACAAGAGTTTCAGATAACTTGGTTGTTCCGCCCTTCTCGTTAATTCTGAAATACTTTCGAAGTTATGCGGCTTTCCTGGGATTAACAGAGAAAGGCCAGATGCAACGCTGTAAGAAAATATTACGAAGAAGCCTATTCTGCAGCTTTAAAGAATAGGAACTTTAAAATTTGGGCTAATTTTGGGCATTTCTGCTATTAAGTTGAGCCAGTTGAAGAAAAATGGAAGGAAGCAGGTTATGCCGAATCGGTGGAAGACACCAAGCGGTCTGTCATGGGACTCATAATTAACCACCCAAAAATGCATCCTGAAAGCCTTTATTGGTCTTCGCTGCCGTGATTAAAAAGGGAAGTTTGGTTAAGAACATCGCACAAGACTACTAATGATTGCTGCTAGCTTTATGTGATGTCTTCCTCGAAGGCGACAATATATAATAGTGTTATCAGTGAAGCAGTACAAACCCCAGAGATGTTTCCCTCATTCAATTTGGTGTAAATTTCAGCCGCACGTAAAATTGTCTGACTAGACGTTCCTGCTACGCAGAAGAGAAAACGTTTGATCCCTGGGTTATGTGCTTTTCATAGTGAGCAGTGCCCGTAGTCTGTGAAAACATTCCTATAGCCACTGTATTAAAGCTGAGCGATGTAGCGCTAGTCTGAAAATGCTGTCAAGACATCTTACCAGCGTCACGTGACATTTTTTGCTTCCAGAAATCACGGTGGCCAATATGAATAAATTGTGTACCAGTGCAGTGATTTCGCTACCCATTGAACAACCCGTGAGTTTGATGCAATTACTTTTCCAGCCTAATTAAAATTTAAAGATGTGGATGTCGAATTTCAAACTAGAAATTACTGGCGCTCAGATCCAGATCATTTCGCAACTTAATCTTCTTCATGGGCAAAAATAAGTGAACTGCATTAATAAATGCTGTCCTGTTGCTGGCACCCTGGTCATTTTGCAGCACTTCTAATCTATCCATTAAGTCGCAGAAAGAGAATCAACCGACAAATTTGCAAAACCAACTGTGGACACGTTTTGTGAACCATCTAAAGTTGACCGACCAAGAAGCGTTCGAAACTGAGGAGAACTAAGGAGAATATGGGGATCTCTGAAACCCTAGGCTCAGGTGATGGCGGTGTTCTGTGTAATGAGCTGGACAGTTGTTTTAAACGATTTAATAACAGTCCGGATGACACTAGTGTGCAGTTCATCATCATTGCGTTACTCAGCGACGCATAGACACTCGAAATTGACCTACTTGACTTCTTACGCTAACCTATATCTAACCTGTGCGCTACAACGAGCAAAAGGTCGCCAAATTGATAAGTAAACTTGAAGTGAACCGAGAGCCAATGTGCGTCGATCCGGCGAACACGAAACTGGCGGAGCAAAAGTCAGGGGTGCTCATCAGTGGCCATCTAAAAGTTGATCCACAAGAGAAAATATCAGCTAGTCGGCCAACAAATCCATTATCATGTTTACATCAACCACCACATCACAGGGGGGAAGCTTTAGACTTGAGCTTCATTCTTCTAGAACTCATCAGCAGTGCATATGCTTCGCTTGACGGCGTTTGAACTCCGGATATCTCACATGCGAGATGAGCTATCACCGCTACTCAACCAGCCCTCTCTGGGTGTGCCGTCATTCAAGATCTACTTTTTGCAAAAGTCCCTTTCCGTCGGTCAATAAGAACCACATAGACACTTGCTAATAACCGCTTGGTGCCTACAAACCGACACATCTCCAATAAAGGACACAACGCTACGCATTGTTTCCCTCTTGGATTGGTTGTGAAACATTTGCAATCAAACTGACCCGTTCAGTGAGACGAAACTGTTAAGCTCGCTGCTAAACCAATATGATAGATGGTGGGCAGCCAGACGTTATCACCACATTGTTTCCACCTCCCACTTTGTTCAACATCACTGGGATTTGTGTAGCCAGTCCACCCAGGAGCTTGAAGCAATACGTCACACTCTACTTTGGTTGCTTCCTACACGTCAGTAATCTCTCAGATCGGTTTTTTACGCATTCTGCATGTGTCCTGTGATTAAGTGACATGACCGGTTTTGTGGAAGCGCACACTGAACGTATGCTTGCATATCATGTTCAACAGAATGCATTGAGATTCAGCAACGTCAAGTACCTCACAATAACAGTTGAGCCTGGAAGGAATAAAACATGCATGAGTTTGTAGTGACTGGTTTTGTCTGTCTTTCATCACGTGACTGCTTGTCGAACAAAGTAAAGTAAACAAAACAACGGACAATCTTTAGACCTAAAAGTAGGATGTGATTATTCTTGTGATTCCATCCGTGTTGAAAATCATGGAGAGGTGACACAGTTCGCTTATGTGGTTCGCAGTGAACGTCAATCAACCTGAAGAGAACTGCACACGAATTTGCTGAAAATTCCTTGACAGTCTACGACCTATTTCACCCTTCTTTGGGCTCATCACTTGGCCACTGTTCTCTAGTTATATATCGATATAGTTATATTCCATTTGGGCCCAAATTGCACGAAACCCGATTAACATCCTCATCTGCAAACCGATTTGGTTTTTACGAGAAACTCACTTGGAAACCAGCTTAGTCCCACCCTTAGGATGTTCTTTGATGTTCTTTGGTATTAGAGAGATCATGGTATATTTTCGTGAAGATTACTCCAAAGGTTGCTGAAACAAAGTGATTATTTGAACTAGATCGTGTCATGAAGTATGACTGCTTGAGAGCAGCCATCATCCTCGTGAAAGACAACACGTACGAAATTTAACAGATTTGAATTTGAAGGCCTTTCGCAGAAGAGCATGATGTGGTTATTAGTCCTAGACAGCAGCAGAGCTGACCGTGTGTAACTCTAGTTGATAGTTTTTAAAAATCGACTTTTAGGAACATCTCAATTCTTGGTAGTACATTGAATGGGTAGTAGTGATGGGCTTTGATCTCTTTTAACAGGACTTGTTTCAAAAATTGGTCAGGGTTAAAAGGCTCCTTGATCGCAATCCAATAAAAAACTCACCGAGCACGCCGCAACTGGTTTTCTTCCATGAAACAGTACCGAAAGTGACCTGTCCATAAGGTCATAATTTTAATAAAGGCAAATAAGATTTAAACCGGTTGTACTCGAATAATTCTCCCGAACGTCCAGTCTATTATTTTCACCTTCCTTCTAAAGGGATTTAAAGTCACAGCTGGCGTCAAACGAGATATGGGCAAGAAATCGAAGCTAAATGAAGGGCATCCACTGAATGGTGCATACGTTTGTCCATCCTGTTCAAATTCTCTTCTCGGACAATTCAAATTAACGCCTGTAGAGAAAGGAGAGAGCTTCGTTTGTGCCTTTTCAAAGCGTAAGTTTATTATTTTCAACCTACTGGATTAAGACAATTCTTAAATTTTGGACACGGACAAGAAGTCAATCAAATTGAAAACTTCCACCTTCTCTAACTGCACGTAGCTTGTTTCGAACGCCTTCTCTCACCTCGTTTGAGAGGAGACTATCTTCCAATGTCAACTTTTCATGCTTTATTTTGTGAGCAGGTAAGAGATTTTTATCTTTTTATATTAGGTTTGGGGCCCAAATTCATTTCAGCTGCACCGAAAAGATAAAGTGCTCTATATATGAGATGGATGTCTCTTGAGAATGCACACAAACGCATCTCTTACTAGCTGGAATTCGCGATCGTTGGTATTTTGTGCTAACTGCCTTTGTTGCATTACAAAACGGTCGGCGCTCATTTAACCACTCACCTTTAGATGTCCTTCTCATCAAATTACAGACTTCTTCAGCCTTCTTTGCAGTTATTGCAATCTATCATTCACAGTATAATGTATATGGACCTAACTACCGGATATTTCGCAACAATCTTTTTAAACATTACTTTCAGGAAGACTGTTGAAATAGCAAGTGTCAATGTCCCACACGGCCGATTAGATAAATTGACAGTATTTTCAATGACTGGGAAAAAAACGTCCCTTGAACGAACTCGTAAACAGAGAACAAACACGCGCGAGATCGCGGTAAAAACTGTGCGGTTTATCAAACGGCTGGATTACCGAATGCAGAAGAATTGCTCTGTAAATTTAACAGATATGTAGATATGTAGCTGAGATGCCTCATGCATTTTAGCGAGTCAGTCAGGGTAGCAGAACTAAGCGAGAAATTTTGGGATAAAAATAAACCGTTTCGTTCCTAATCTGCAGCATCTTTCCTCGTTACAACATCTTTATGCTGGTCAGTCTACGCAGAATGCTTGGAAAGTAGATACCTGATGGAAGGAGAACTATCCTGCTGATCCCCTTGTCCATCATTTTTGTCTTGGTCTCAGTCACTTCATGTAAAATTTCCAGACGGTAATTACTTGAATATAATGAAACCGAAAAACATCAGTGTGTCCAAAAATAGTACCGGCTTTTTCTAATTGCTGGTTTGTTTTTGAGGAGGATCCTGGTTTGAATTTCCCCAGGAAGAGATATGAAAGCATACGCCGAGGCAATGAATGGTGTTTAAATCGGGTACAAAACGTTTTTTTCAGCCCGGTGAGCTAGGAGTACAATCCTTTGAGGATTGTCACAAATACCTCCGGAGCATCTGTCTCAAATACTGACTACTTCCGTCGTTTGCTGAATATTCAGTGTCATGTTTATAATTGGTTGCAGCGTGCTAACGACGGGAGACCTCTGAAGTTGTTTCAAATTTCATTCACTGTTTCAACGTTTACGTTCTGTCTTCATTTACTTTAGCTTGATGTAAAGTGAAACAACGTCCTTCTATATGATGTCGTTGTGTTCATATGGACGGCTCAGGGTGTTTTACCGACGTATCTAGGAAGTTTGACCTTTTTCTATGAATTTTGGCTCAGAATATGAACAACGACCAGTATTCATTTCCCACTGTAAAACATATCTGGATTGAAGGAGTATTTGTGGGCAATTTATTAGACAGTTGTCACCCGTATTCTTCAATATTTCAGCTAGTGAATACAAAACAAGTGAGCCTGGATCTCTTGGACTGCTTCAGGGTGGATGTTTGGATTTATCCACATTCGAGGCCAGATACAACGTGAGTCACTGGTCCAGCTTGGCCTCAGTAGACACACATGATATAAAGAAAATGAAGCAGGCACGAACACGTCTACTGCATGCCATAGAACACGAACCAAAGATTGATTCGCTCAGATTGCTCGTCTACAACAACGGTGATGCACGTTTGCTGGCACCGGTACTTTGCATTGGATCATCCATACAAGGAGTAAGTTGGAGCAGCCTATAAACACTTGAAATATTTGCGAACACAGAATTTACAAATGAATTTAAAGAAAATGGTTCATTGCAGGCTGAACCAGTAGTTCGGACCTGGTCTGAGGACAATGTGGCATCCTAGAAATTATAAAACAAACTTTCGCAGTGAAAAAGAGAAACTTCAGCAATCGCTTACAACTGTGTCTTGTTCTTCGTAATAGCCCGGTGTCAGAAATCTAGTCGGAGTAAAAATTTTAATTAACCAAGAATCAATTCTTCCGCTTACAATAAGAGACCTATCCGTACATCCTATCACGGATTTGCCTTTCGTTACAGAATTACGCGCAGTGACCGATATACTAGACATTTTAAGTAGGTAACTTACAAGTAATTACAAGATGCAATTTCAGGGTTTTGCGGGATAGGTATTTTCGTTCATAATCACACACACACCACTCTCGTTTAAACGATCGTGCTCCCATTCTGGCGTAATTATTCCGGTGAGTTCACATCAAAGGGAAGCACTGGATTCGAGGTTCGCTCTTGTTAGAGCATATCCAGTGGCCGTGCCGGGAGTGAAACTCGAGTCCAGTACTTCCCTTTCGTGTGGACTCACCGGAATAATTACGCCAGAACAGGAGCACGACCGTTTAAGCGAGAATGGTGTGACTATGAACAAAAATTATAAAATGAATATCGAAACGATCCTTCGGCTCTGATTCTCAGTCTTCTGGTTTTTGTAAACGTGGATCTTGGTGTGATTGGGCATATGTCTGACCACGATGACAGACTGAAGAAATCGAACGTTGAAAGCACTTTGACTACCTAATCAATTTGAACAAAACAATGAAAACAGCAACGTTGTAGAATTAGGGCATTTCGTACACGGTCTTTTATCAGAAAAGTGTAAAATCGTAAGATAGATAATACAGTACACTTTACAACATGTACACAGTTATAAAGCAATTTGACAAATCAATAAAACCAAGATAGACTGAGATTGACATTTACGTCTTTACTGAAAAGCGTATTTACTCTGATGTTTTCTAAACTGATGGTAAATCTTCCGGAGTGTGTTTATCAACCCAGTTGCACTTGCAGTGATAAGCAAGCCAACAGGAGGCTTGAAACATTACCAAAGTGGTGGGGGTCACATCGTCTGACTCTAAGCCAACGCTGATCAGATCCAGAGTTAAATTGTCGATCGCTAGGCGTCTAACCGACAAGTGCCACAGCTCAGTCTACTGTTCCGGTTGTTGACACTAATCAAGCAGTTTCGGAATTCGAAGTTTTTTAGGCTGTGTGGATTAGTTGTTTTAGGCCTATCCTCTGCGTTCGGAAGGGTTTACGGTTCACTCTGAAACTGCCTTCGTTTTATTGATCGATCATGTTGCTTTCGGACTGTATGAACATTATAATCTGCTTTGCATTGTGTTTTATGATTTTTACACCTTTTGCGGCAAAAGCGTGTGCAAAATGATTGGGAGACTCGCAATGAACTTCTGCTCCACCTCATTTCAATCCGGATGACGAATAACCAATTGAAGCTTCAGACTTCTCCCTTTCGTTAATCTGTTCTTAGCCATGCAAGCCTCATTAGCCAACTAAGTGATACTGAGTACTAATCAGTGGAGTGGTAAATAACGCAATCTAATTGTTGACATGTCTGTAGTGTGGCTATCGTCACAGTATCGTCACTGCATCGAAGAATTGGCTGAAATGTCGTACGTTATAACAAACCTTGTAGTTAATGTTGCAGCTACTAGTTACGTACTCGAAATTATCAATAGCTAAGACGGATCGGAGTGACCTTGCAAGACCTGAACAATTGCCCCCACACAATAAAAGTAACCGTTCATTGTTAGTGCGTCTTGACGAATTACTTGTACATGAAACAGTTGTAACAGTATCAGATCTGAGGAACATTATTATTAATATTTAATGTGTATCTCAATTATTAGTAAGACTGGGTCTGCAGGATAGAAAGGTCTGTCTTCCGAAGATTGCTCTATCTGAATGGGAATCACTGTAACTCTGTGATGCCGCACTGTCAGTGAAGGATTAGCAAAAGTTAACCACTGATAGTGTCTGTGGACTCTACTGGGTGTAAGGGGAAGCAGTTCAACTTTTGCGAGTGCATTTTATGTGATCTCTCCACACGGTTGTGGTATTTGCACACGCGATGCAAGCATTTGAAGTCCTACGGCCGGCCACACTGTGATTGGTGACCAATTAATCTCCGGGGAAAATTTTGTTATCACAAACAAAATAGCTAGGTGATCCATTACCGTGTTGATCCGATGAATCCTAAAAGAAATGATGGTTTTCAGTTCAGATTTTTCCGCAAAATTCTCAAGTTTAATATATTTGGGAGCAGCTTTTCGTGGAACGAATCCTATTCTAACAATTGGGAAAAGTTTTCAACCGACTGAGTAGTCATCGTTTCAGAACGGCTTGTTAAACAATCGGTGGTTTTTAACTGGGCAACGTTTCACTTTTGACTCAAAAGCTTCATCAGGCCAAGTGAACAGTTCACCAAGTTGGCCAGATTTCAAGGCAGACTGAGAACCAATCAGTAAGGTATCTTCATTTTAGCGCGTTAGATCAGCGTTGAGTGTCAAATAACGGATCTCGCCGGTTGTTGTTGCCAAAATCTTGCGTTAACGGGTTGGGAAAGTTTCAGATGGCAACTATCCCATTCCTTAATCTTTCACTTCAAGGCACTTCAGTGTGCGACTAGTAGATTTCATTGGTTGTTGTGGGCTTGTGAGTGTTGCGACAATTTAGTCGGGAGGAGGTTGAGTGGAATTTAGACAATGATTACTCCTCATTCTGATGACCACACATCAACAGTGTCAGCTTGACTGATCCAAAACCATTCTCCAACGCTTGCCAGGAAAGTTTCAGATGGCAACTATCCCATTCCTTAATCTTTCACTTCAAGGCACTTCAGTGTGCGACTAGTAGATTTCATTGGTTGTTGTGGGCTTGTGAGTGTTGCGACAATTTAGTCGGGAGGAGGTTGAGTGGAATTTAGACAATGATTACTCCTCATTCTGATGACCACACATCAACAGTGTCAGCTTGACTGATCCAAAACCATTCTCCATACGCTTGCCAGTTCCACGCCTTCTATTCTGTTAACACTGTGATGCATGGCTGTTTCTACTGCCTCGACCATCAATCTCTTTGACGTGGACCGCAGCCCTTCGGAAACGAATCCAGTTCTATCTTATATCAAGCACAAGCTTTCGAGAAGTGAAAACCTACGTACTATCCGCTAAGGGTGCACCAACTGGAGGAACTGCGTTTACTACCCAAAAATTGACAAAGTGGACAGTTATTCGATAACGTAATATTGAAACGGAGGATGCTCTCACAACAAGTGCTCCAGAAAGAAGCTTCCATATGAATGGGTGATTTAAACTTATCTATAACGTCCGCTGAGTCCTAGAAGAATGCAGTCGACTCATCTACTGTTAGTTGAGGCTCCCGACAGTGAACTTTGTGTCGCGACTATGTTTGACCATTCCGGATATCAAAAAGATTGATTGGGCTCGAAGGTCGACGGTACAATTTACACAAATGTAGTAAAAATTATACAACAAACCTCATCTATCCTCGTTGGTGGAGTGAACAAGTGCACAAAGCTGTTAGTGACCGGCACAACACAGCCTCGAGGTTCGGAAACGGCTCGGTGGTGTGGGTTGTGGCAGTACCCTCCAGGTCACTCTGGTGGCGTGGCCTATGCGATCGCAGGACAATCTCGCCAGAGCAGACCAGAACAAGCCCAGCAGACGATGCACGAGCAGGTGCGGCATGTAGGTCAGTGGCACGCACAGGCTATTATGCCCAAGTCGGATTTGGCTGCATTTAGTCAACGTGAATAGCGGAAACGGGGGAACAAAGGAGCTGGAGAACATAGGCGACGTAATCAGGTAACTGGAGGAATTATCACGTCAAGTCAACCTCACTACTATCCATAGGCTGTTGGCGCACTCCGCAACTTCGGTCTACTCAACAACACTAGGCGGTAGCACAGCCGGCATGTAAATTTCAGTAAATTTCAGTACACTACAACTGGAAAAATCATGTAAACAAGGTCAAACGAATTACTACTTATCTGATAAAACTTCAGAGGTAATCAAGTAATCACTGCAGATTTCTGGGCAAACATATGCAGTAATTTTGACAAGCTTTCCCTGAATGTCAGATGCAAAGAGTTTGAGATCAGGCAAAGGCACCACTATACATTGTTGAATACGTTCACTGAAAGCAAACCTCGTGCCCGATACTCATAATCTTTGGTTTGGGCTAACCGGAATAATCACACTAGAACAATAGGGGGAGAATGACCTGAATACCAACGTACAATGCTTTGGATCATGTCACTCTTGAGATTTCACGAATCTGTTTACAGACGCATCACTATCTTCCATGTTTTTTCTCAGTCGAAGTGTCAGCGCTGCGACACTGGTGGTACACACTGTTACGAGATTATGAGACCATCCCCTATCACTATAACTTCACACTGCTGAATGCAGTGATGTTTTGTCTGCAGCTGGTTTGTAAGATGAGAAACCTAGTCCACAATTTGCAGGAATAAGTCATAAAAACTAGCATGTCAGTAAGACCCAAGTTTTACTGACAGCGAAACTTTAAATAAGGAACACCCCCTAAAAGGCTTTCTGTTGTTTAAAGCGTGTTTCGACGAAATTCTCTTCGGCTTCCCTTAATCCCAGACCGTAATATCCACCGACTCGATTTCAGTGTCATAGGTTTTTTTTTATCTTTGTACACTCAATGTTCTATTGTGCCCTACTTATCCTCGTTTTGCTGACAGGAGGAACGTAAACCGGCTAGTCCGACATTTTGCATGACGGAACAGAAGCCATCCCTTCACTAGTCAGGAGATGCTTGCACTGCTGCTTGGTTTTATAAAACGAAGTATTTTATAGTACCTGTACTCCGACACCTGAATGTATTTTTCGGTCCCACAACAGTGCCGTTGAAGTTAACGGCAATTCATGAAGGTTCATTCAATTCAACGCGTAGATTCAATCTAATTTGATACCCCTGCCGCGGCAATATAATCACAATTAAAGCTACAATGTAATGGAACTGATTATTTTGACATCGATAGATTCTTGGTTTTTAATAGTGCGTATTTGAGGGTTGAACTTTTCCTCTAGCTTAAGAGTTCTACCGCATATGCTTCGTTGACACCCTAGATCACATCACTGGGTCGTAGCATGGTAGTGGCATGGTAGCGTAGCATCGACATAGGTTCTGACAAAACGTCTGGAACAAAACCGTCAGCCACGGCTAACAGCTCAACCACCAACTGCACAACCTCAAAATCGCATTACTAGCGAGTAGTAATGAGAGTACTTCATTCGAGCAGCTATGTTTAGGCGGAATTTCTGTATACTGTAGGTTCAGTTGATAAAACCTGCCGCAGTTTATAGTGATAAATGTCTCGGACAGTGACGTCCTACGAGTCGATGTAGATGTCAATCTGTCGTTTGTCAGACAAACTATGACCTATCCTGGCTTACGAGGATAGTTTTTAATGGAGAATGTTTCATCGTTTACTAACTCAAAGTGGCTTCACGGATACGACTGTAGGTCACATGGTTGCTTCCCTAACTTTGTCTCCAACTGTGGACGATATATGGTCAGGTAAGTCTTCCAAAAATGACGTTGCATATCGCAGCACATCTATAAAGAACCGATATATCGAAGGTGTGTGACTTGAACAGAACGTTTCGAACTCTAAAATAATGTTCTGGGTATGAAAGCTATTCCCTTTTTTTAAAGAATGATTTTCTTATTAAAGAGACTAAGTATAAGCTGATTCCATTTTTTCTGCTCTTTTCGGAATTACTGTTTGTAAGAAGCTTGGTAAATAGAATTCTTGGCTGGTAAAGCCGTATATTTAACTTTCTCCCTAATGGGAATTCGGTAACCCCTTATTAGAAGTGTAAAGCCTGGTCAACTACGCGAACAAGTGATGGTGTGGCTCCTTAAACACATTCACGTTTGTTATTGACATGAGCTATATTCACACTTGTATCTGTTTCTCAGAAAATTCTTTCTAACCTCCTTGTCACCAATTTTAGTTGTTGGATCAGAGTACGGTAAGACTTGGCCTGGCGAACCCTGTCACTACCTTCTACACGATCGACGGTACCCCTATCCACCACGTTGACGACCTTCATGCCTGGATTGAACAGAATATAGACAGTATTCATAAGCAAGCACTTCTATGGCATAGGTGGTATTCCCAAGAATTACTAAAAGATGAAGCTGTGGAAATCACAGATAACTTGCTTGGAATCAATCAAGCTTCAGAATCATTAGAAGAGACTATACACCGTCACAGTTTGGATCTGAGAGTAATTGAAACGGCATACAAAAGAGTACCCTCAACAAAACCAGTTTCACGTGCAATATATACGGGACACCCTGATGTGAAAAAGATGATGGAATCGGTGAGTACTCCATAACTGTACTTACACTATTTGTCCACTGTTGATTTCAGTTTCCAGTTTCATACAGAGTTTCGTTAAAGTACGTGTATCTCATTGGCTGTTAGCACATCTTCAAAGCCAAGATTGAGGCAAGGTGAATAACGGATTTTCAAACAGGTGAACAAACATTGGCCAGTGGGAAAAAATCATCGGGTACGTGTTCAGACTGAGTAAGGGTATCGGGTATGTGGCGTCACTGACTGCATAGAAAATATACATGGTTTAGTAAAACCTTCGCTCTCAGGATTCGATAGCCAGTTGTCCCCATGACACAGGTGGTCTAATGAAGTGCTAAGGTGTTCTTAAGCAGGAAGTGAGTTTCCTTTTGAAATTTATGGAGCAAACTGAATAAATTTATCCAACACACGAGACTTCATCAGTCCACTACCAACACTGCCTGTCCCACCATATTTCAAAGGTCGGCTATACAATCGAATAAAACTCCAAAGTATTTTCGTCATCCGGCGAAAAATCTTCGTTCATCTTTGGACAGTGGTATTCCGTACAGTGTTTCTAGGTTAGCTGTATTGGAAGCCCAATAGGAATGAACATGAGTATCACTCTAAGTTAGTAGTGCTATCCTCTGAAGTTTTTAGCTGGCTCAAGGTAAAGTCTTTTGACTGGACAAACCAAATTTGTACTACAGGTTCAGAAATATTCCAGCATTCCTAGAGAACTATAACGAAACTTCGGAGAAAAAATGTTACAAATTTGAGGCCTGACAGTGTACGTGGGACTGTCATAATGAACAACCAGTACTATATCCTGAAGGTGAAATGATCTTCGGAGACAGAGCCGTTTTCTTACCCAAAACATGGGGTGTGGCAAAACACTGAAAGTTAAACAACCAATTCCACAATAATTACGGCACCTGCATAAAGGCGGTTGGATAGACAAGGTAACGCTTAAACAGCTTACACCATGTGAGTCTTAGAATCTTGAAAAGTATAGGTTTGTAGACAGTCACAAATACGAAATTCCGTTGGATAAATTCTTTTCAGGGTTAGGGCGTGGTATCAAAAAATGACCCATTGTCTATCCAGGCCTACGGGCACTCATAGATGAAGTGGCTGGACGAAGGCTGAATGATTCGATCAGGTTCTTTGGAATGTTGCGCAGGGAGGTTTCCCACAAACACAGGTAATCTTAAGATGTGTATTCTTTTTACCGTTATTCCTCTTTATGAGAGAATCGATGAAGTACATTCGTATGCCACTAAACCATATATTTCTACTCATCATCTAACCTCGCCACTCTTACGTATTGGTGGTGTTGAGTTCTGTCTCGACAAGAACGTCTATCAACAGACTGATAAGGTAGAAATGCGCAGGAAGCAAATATCCATACTCGCTATGTGGATTATTTGTCTGTAGAGTTTTACAGCAACTTTCATGCACAGTGCTGGATACAACTCCAGATCAATGCTATGCGCATAGTAAACGCAGAGTTGAGCACGGAAAACGAGGGTAGAAACAAGTTTGAGTCACGTAAGGTACAAACATTCTGCAAGCGAACCATTAAAGTCCTAGCTCTCTGTCTCAACAAACAACACCAAACTGCTAATTGTTATCGTATCTTTTCAGGGAATCCTGGATGGGACTAAATTTGGATCCAGCAAAAACGTTTGCCTCAAGCCCATGCAGTTGGATTTACCTGATTTGGATGTCTATCCCACAGTGACACTTACCTCTCATGGACGAGTTTTTCAGATCGGTGACTCAGAAGGCCCAGGTGAAAACACTCTATACGTGTTGGTGATCAAAATTGTTGGCCTTGATGGACTCAAGAGGGTAAGTAGAAAATTGAGGCCAAAATACCATAACCAATCAATCGACACCATATCTGTTTATGAAAATAACTAAGCACAAATGCACATGACTTAGGTCACTTGTTACAGCAATTTCAAAAGATATGCTTTACACATTACTCGTCGAATTCCCAAGTGCCAGCCACATAAAGTGTTCCTTAAAATGGTATCACCCAGCCTAGCCTGATCGAAATTTACAGATGAACCACAAATGAACCCCTCGTTTGTGACATTAGCGTGTACTTCACGAATTTCGTACAATTTGGGAAGATAAGATTGACAAAAGCACAGAGGCTGCGCCTGCCTGGTAAGTTCAGAGAAAAGGGAAACCGGTCATGGGTTACCGAAGGATTTTCAGCAACATTAAAAGTAGTGTTCCTTTAAGAAATTTTGCTGTGGTATCCCGCACATCGTACCAACGGCAACATAGGATCATACCTACGCAGCATGTTCGTGTGAATAATATCATAAACCGACGATTCAGATGGGATTCATGTAATTCCCCCATCAGCATAAAATTGGCGTGCAAGCAGAACATTTTATGTTTGTCTTTGATTAATTAGCCCACAGAGTTTGCTACTGAGTTCGGGGTTTATCCGAGACTTTACTGTGCATCAATTTATGCACCTGACGTAGGAGAATGCTGTTGCCCTTTTCGAGCATGAACACAAGTGTCGGTCAGTAGTGTTTTCCGGATCTCATTGTTAGGTCAGTACGAATGACCAAAATAAGGAAACTTATGGAGTAAGCAGCTGAGATCGGTAACAGAATAAGAAAACATGAAGACTCACAATTGGTTGTCAGCCAACGTCGCATCTAATTAGATGTCGTAAGGCAGTCGATTCATGTCGATTCGTGCCACGACCAAGCCTGACTCAGCGATCATACAAATCGCCTTTGGAGGAACACTACAGGGTTTACGACTGTGGTTTACGACCGGTATTACGACTGCCTCGGCCCTAGTCAAGCTACGCTGTCCTATCTTTTAGGAACTCGGTAGACGAAGTGAGACGACTTGTTCGGATTGATCCCGTGACCAGCGTCATTTGTGTGAGACACGTTTAGCTTTTGGTTAAACTGCTGGGTCCAGTGGTGTTACGGCTGGAGAGATGCTCCCGTTCCAAAGTTTTCTCATGCGTTCAAAATGTCCCGCTGAACAAGGGAAAGAATACACAACCATTTTTTTAGTGATGACTGGTTTATTGTCTTTGAGGTTGAGTAAAAGGCAGATTGTAAACGAAGACCGCAGAGTTTTGGCTGGAAACGTGTGCTGTGGGGATTGTCGCAGACTGTCTACCAACAGATAGTCTTTATAGGCATCTTTGCAACAGTCGTGGCTTACGGATGGATAGGACGATCGGATATATCGTTTGCTATGAATCCCCCGGAATAGCTGTTGGTTAGGAACACGTTAGCAACATGCTTGTTTTAAGAGTCCAGTTTATCCGGGGTGCACATTCGTCTCAATCGGTTCGCTTGAGTGTGAATCAGGGTTTGTTTCTGCCTCAGTGGCACAAAACAATGGAAGTTTCTGTATTGTCCCGTCAACGCGAACTTTCTATGAACAAATCTCTGATTTGAACCAGTGGATGAACTGTCTTAACGTCCAAGAGGTGTGTTGCTACTTTCAGTTTCCAAAAAAAGCAGGATAGAGGGATGCTCCCGGTTGAAATAGGTCAGGAGAGCATATAGTTTGGAAGTGTTTGGTACTACTATAAGAATATTCGCTACGTTCAGTCGACACATCTTCAGTTGGCTAAAAAAAGCCACTCAACAGGGGAGCAAGTGGAAAGTCCATGGTTTGTCGGTAAAGTGTGGAAGTAAACTGGATGTGTACTTCAAAAGTACAGTGCAGGATCAGTTCTTTTAAGGAGACCTTGGGGATTGGGATGTTCAACTCTGGTGCGTTAATGTAATCTCAAATTGAAATTTCATGTCTTTATGATTGGAGTGATGGTATGAAGAGCGGTTACTTCAAAAGGGCGCATAAATCAACAACTTTTATCAGCTCCTCACTCTCGAAAATTGCACGGAGACTATATTGGCATGAGCATCGGCGTGCGAGTCCTAAATCACGAGCGACCACCTGTAGTTTCTTGATATGGAGAAGTCCGCATATTCCAAACAGGTAGTAACAGGAAATCTCATGAAACTTAGGCGTGGGATTATGTTACAGACAGACTTGAAAATGACTTCGGAAATTATACCCTCATTCTTCGGATGATTCTGACAGTTTATCTACTGGACCCTTACAACTTGAGTCTAGGCTTCTGGCTTTTATTCCCCGCCAAATTTTGCTGTCATTCGCGATCTTATTGAGGTAGTCATCCGTGTTCCTAAATATCGTTCTGCTCTTTTGTCAGACTTTTCTGGGCGTGTCACTACCCGTTCGTAAAGCTCTTAGTTCTTCTCAATGTTTCTTAGTGAGTTGAGTACTGTGAACCATCGTATCGTGCCTGTACTAATTGCTGCAAGTGATTGGATCAGATTTGAGGCGATCTAAGTTGTCCGTTGATCAGATAAAATAGGGTCTCAAAATGCACTTCAATTTGTCAGCCCTACGACATCGACAGCAGAATTGTGACCCCAGTATTGGACCTCCTGTGTTAGAAACGAAGTGAGAACAGTTGCGTACGTATTCCTTTGGGTTTTCAGGGAGTTCGGTTCGACGTTTCTTCCTCATCCACGGTTCTGTTTAACTGATGTCTTTTAGTGTTTTGTAGCAATAATTTTAAAGTAAGGTGTACATGCCTGATGTGAATAATCAGAAAGATCCTCTATAATGCATAGTCTTTGGTTGGCTAGTCGTTAATACTCGCTCACTTGTATGTGCAGTGTATCGAGCTGACTGTGTATATATCCTTTGTGTATTGCTTCAGTGAGACGCCATCCGGGCGGATACCGTTTCAAATCAATAACCTAGTGTAATTTGAACCATTTTTTACTGAAAGTTCACACTAGCCAGATACAGACTATCTTCGTTACAAAACCGGGCAAGTTTTTCTCCATCATCGGTGCCCAAAGCTGTAACCTTCTGTTAGTGTTCAGGCTTCAGTGCAGCAATAATCTTGCGGGCTACAACCGATTGATTCCAGTTACCCAGGGTCCACCTGTGTCAGGAACAGTCAACGGGAAGCAGACCGATTAAGGCCAGCTAGGTCCAGTACTGCATGGAATCATATTACGAAGAGATCTGCGGTAAGAATGTAACGACAGTAAGGCTTTCCCTTCATTTATGTGAGCAGTGATGGCGCCTTCTTCCTGGGAAGAATGAGCCACAAACGTTGCCCCTAGGACCAACATTAGGGACCAGACAGTCATGCTATATTCCCTTCATCTTAGGGTCAGGCTGCTCTCCTACAGCCAACTGAGTCAGATTTTTGTCACTGGCTCTAGGAAATATCCCTTAATAAATCCCCAATAATAGCTACCTCACGCTTCAGACTTTTGGGTCAAAGTCTACTGAAAGTGTTTCGATTCTCCCACTGCCTTGTTGGTCAGACTCTTGAGTCAGAGGCTTAAGGTGGGGCGCCGCAACAAAAAAACTCACTGCGGCCTGGGTGACGTGGCATTGGTCACTCTAACAATCACACATTCTTCACTCAAGTCCTTCTGATTCGCTTGCTTGTGATTAACCCGGCCGTTTATCCGTATCAAAGCTTTTGTTTGGCAAAATAACTCAAAATGAATACTCGCCCAACTAAGGGGATATGTTCCATATAGTGGTTTTGAATGTTTGTGCCCTATGTTCAATCGGGAAACAAGGTGCTCTTGCTCGGATATTGTTTGCTCTTTCGACCGATGTATGTTGTATCTCCTATACACATGCAAAGCTTCACTTCGGTCGTACACCCAGGCTACTAGGGACGAATCCAGATTTCTCAGTGTACTTTTCGGGTGTCTGGTGAGCCTGAAGCGACTCCAAGTGGTAATTATGGTGCTGGTGTTGTACTTAACCCCTGGGCCGAATGTGCCTTACTGGGCTGTTATCCAGTAAACTGTTCTCTTTCAGCCGATCGGTTGACTGATTCAATCAAGATCAATGCACTTCGACATGATAAACGCTGTTTGCTTGTTGTGTCTGCATACACTCAGATAGATATTTCGGTAGGTGATACAAATGCATAGGTTAGTCTAACAAACATATCTTGGTGGCCGATTTGGCGCTGATCACCGCACAGATAATGGGTTGGCGAGAATCAAGCCCCATTCGGGGTCACAGCGATTATATGTTCACTTTACGATAAGTGCTGGATCGGTTTTACTCCTTTCAACGATCAACAACGGTCACCGTTCTCGATCCCAAACCTATTCCTGACTCTGTTGATCGTCAGAAACTGTGGTATTGTCTGGCTACAGAAAGGGTGTCTTGCGAATTCTTGTTACGTATTACTGCTCTACATACCTTTTTCCATGAATGCGTAGGCTTTCACAGCAAATCCAGTGGTGCCAGGCAAGGATGTCCTCGTAATTCCTCTTTGATTTCGTAATCGGTGTACTGCAGTAGTTTTCTTTACATGCCTCTGACACTATCGGTATCAAATTACTCTCGAGGCACGCCTTCGCCAATGGCAAGTGAGTGAGCTAACAATACTGCTCCCCTCAAGTTAGACCCTTTGGAGCTGTAAACTTATTTAAATACCCTAAAAAATCTGCTGCATAGTTCGACATGCGCTTCGCACCCTTAAAGTTATACCACAAGAGTGGATGGTTTAAAATCCAAGCCTCATGCTTGAAACTGAACCGAGCGATGTGGTACATAGATTTTTCCATCTGGGTGGTCGCGTAAGTCCCGGTAGATGCGTGGAAGGCGAAATCATTTCCAGAGTCGGGAAGGCCATGGGAACGTTTGTCAAATTCAGACATTAGTTCCACCGATGTAACGTCAGCTTGACTATCAAGAACAGAAAGTATAATGCTGCGTTTCGAACTGCCCTACCTAATGGATTGGAGGCGTGGCAACTTTGCGTAGCTGGGGTTAGCTATCGGTGCACCTGAAACATTGCGCTGTTCCGGTAGGAATGTCATATCGGCAGCAGTAATGTTTTCAGGAATGGTCAGTCGCCCTTAATAAATCAGCTGGTTACACTCCACAGGTTACGCTGGTTAGGCCGTGTGCTTATTATGTCAGAGGACTATTTGCCTCGTTTAACCCCATTCACTCAGCAATACTGGATATGGACGACTGAGAATCGGACAGTCCATGACTTGTAATCAGTCACAAAGGCCCTCGCCAGTCAATTCAGTCAGAATGATAACTGACGTCCCTCAGGATGAGGACACCGAGACGGGATCTTAACAGATGCGGCTATGTCACACAGCCAGTGGCAACCTGGCATTAAGGCTATTGGCTTACCGCACAAACAAAGCCCGATGCCTGGCTCTCACTCCACTATTTTGCTTATCCTCGGTAAAATAAGACAGCGGCTGGAACCACTGCAGGTCGGTTCACGGTTTGTGAGTTGAAAACTGAACTGAACTGAACTGAGCTATAAGTGAAGTGTATTAGGAGGATGACCTGAACTGAGATTACCTTTATATCGTGACTGAGTCGTACTCAAACAGTAGTTACTGCAAGGTTTTCAAGGTTCCGAAATTTTTCACAATACTGACAATAGCCTCAAGAAAAAGCCAAGGTAACAATTTATTTGCGGTGTATTTCTGAGAAATTCAATGATTTTAATGAAGGAAAGCTGTTTGGGTAATAGTTGAAAACGGTTTTATTCTTTCTTTCACGCAACTAGTGCGAGATCGAGTGGGTAGAGTTTACTTGACTTCCATGTATAGTGAAAAGTTCAGTGTATATATATATATATATATATATATA